GGACGATGCACTCCTCGACGCGGAAAAGGTGCAGTGGCAGTTACCATTTCATATTCGACGCTCATTTTGGTGATGCGCAGGTCATAGAACTCAACCCCTCATCTTACTTTGGATATCGATTGAAGCACACAGCACTTCATGGCGCACACCGATATGATGAAGCCATCGAGGCCTTCAAAATCATGCTCTCCAAATTGGAAAATGCTCCTGACATGCAAACACAAAGTACGCCCCAAATAGTACATCCTTCAACATCATTAACTCTTTGTCCAGGCTTGCACCAACAATACGTCAATCTATCCGAGGTAGAAGGAGTCATTCAAGAGATCATCAAGGCTCAACTCAACGACGCCCCGCATCGTCTGCTTAATACCTTTACTGGGCGCTTGTGCGATCGAGAAGTACAGATTGATACCTTCAAAATGAGCGCAGAGTACAAGGAGCTTGTGTCATCAACAATATTGGTGCACACAGATCTCTGAATGGAGCGCATCAAAGATGTCGTAGCGATGTACTTCTGCTGTGTCACGCTATTGCATCGGTGGGAAGGAAAGGAACCACTGCTGCACGACGTCCAGGACAAGGTCGTTGATGAGTTGAATCCAGTTGGGGGAATCATGAAATTGCGGTCTTTCTGCAAAACTGCTCATGCTGCAGGATATCGCTGGGGATGGATCAATACATGTTGCATCGACCAGACTAACAATGTCAAACTCCAAAAATTGCTCAATTCTATGTTCGTCTGGTATCGCACCTCAGCGCTCACTATGGTCTACCTGTCGGATGTTCCGCCTTCGTCGAAGCCGGGCACACTGACAAGGAGCACATGGAATACGCAAGGATGGACTGTACCAGAATTCCTCGCCCCGAAAGCCATCTGTTTCTACCAAAATGACTGGACACCATATCTCAATGACCGCTCTCCCAACCACAAGCTGTCTGTCGCGATCATGCAGGAGTTGGAGGATGCGACTGGGATAGATGCAGAAACCCTTGTCGTTTTCCGTCCTGGAATGATAAACGCCCGCGAGAAACTACAATGGGCGTCGACGCGTGTTACCACAGTGGAGGAAGACATCGTGTACTCATTATTTGGCATCTTCGGTGTTCAGCTCCCCATCTTGTATGGTGAGAAGAAGCAAAAGGCGCTTGGGCGGCTCCTGCAGGAGATCGTCGCTGAGTCTGGGGACATTACTGCCCTGGACTGGGTTGGAATATCATCCGAGTTCAACAGCTGTCTACCTGCCAACATCACTTCATACGAAGCCCCACCATACACGCTGCCATCTATATCTGAAGATGAGATGCAAAGATCGGTCTTGTCGCTGCAAGACACTGTGGTTGTCGAGTTAGCTTTGAAATTGTACAGCTCGCTCGACCGCCTGAACACTCCACGTTTTGCTCACCGCCGGCTGCATCTGCCATGTATCGCATTCCCTGTTACAGAAGTCAAACAGAGATTCACTGAACACAAGGAGAAGTACTTCACGTATGAAGTCAAGGCTGATGGGCTTCATGACCTGAAGATCACCACGGAGGACAGGTTACTTCAGTTCTCACAAGGAAGACCTGCTCGACAGTCATTCTTACTTGTACGTCCCTGGGATCGTTGTCTCCTCGAGCTGCCTGACTATGCAGACGATATGGAGAGTATGAATGACTTTGCTCTCCCTGGGTCGCCCGAAGAACAGGGCCCGGTTGATTCAGAATCAAGCGAGCGTGCAATGTGATTGATAGTTCGCCTTGGACAGCCGTTCAGCGCATTCCTGCTTGCGCAGCAACGCGGTGGAGAATACAAGAGAATCACATCAGATAATGATATCATTACACAAGTCAAAGATGTGGATTCTGTTCATGGTATGATGGACGTCAGAACACTTGAGATATTGTAGCTGTATGTACTCATTTGTTTTGGAAGAAATACATCTCAGCAGTTTTCATTATCGATGTTTCCCTCTTTACAAATGTACTCGATCATTTATTTACGGTGTCTCATCCCCTTCTCCCACATCAATGAGAGGAGGTCTTTGTCGAATGCAAAAGTCAACTTCCCATCCCTAACAAGATGTGCGAGATTGCTGTGCACCATTGTAGATAGTAGTTCCAATGAAAATCACTGGAAAATGTGCTGATGCTGAATGTTTCAGAGTAACTTCCACTGAAATTGCATGCAGTTAATTTCATTGGAGTGCTGATTTTGAATTTCAGTGGAAAATCTACTGAATCAGAATTCAGCACCATACTCCAATCCTACTAGCATTTTAGCTCAGGAGATCAATCTGCTGTGGAGCTCGATAATTGAATGACCTGGCACCGTCACAGCAGAATTTTCACATTTTTGTTATGACATCTTTTTGGTATATATTGGTGTCACCATGTATACATGGTACAGGACTTATGGCTTAGTGGTTAGATCGCTGGACCTATAAACATAAGGTCTTTGGTTCAATTCCCACCATTTGCAAATTATGACCTATCACAGGTAAATTGGGTCAAGTGATGTTCCTAGGGCTTAGTTGAATAGTTTTGCTTGTCATTCTAGCATAAATTCAGAGTATTTTTTAAGAGTAAAATTTCAGAGTAAAAAACAGCAATTTCAGCACCCTGATTTCAGCACCTAACGCTCTGAGTTTCAGACCATTATCATATGATTTCACCCAATGAATTTCACTGGAACTACTATCCACGGTGTGTGTTTGCATCCGTCATGCAGATTTCGCAATTGCAATCACATTCTGTATAGCTACGTACAACGACAGGGATTAAATATGCCATTCTCATCATTTCCTGGTGGTAGTAATAAGTCCTATCATCTTTGCCTTTGATGTTAATGACTTGTCAAAAACTTTTGTCAAGCTCGAATTACTTTCGCGGGAGTGTCATGCCGACACGTGACAACGTGTAGTACGACTCGGATGGATCATAGGCTGTTGTCACGATTGGCACAAGTATGACATATGCGTATTATTTGGTTCGCAAGTGATCCTGTATGCATCTCCAACGCGGTGTAGAGGCTCAATCCTGGGTAGCCTCACAATGGCACATATTGCAACATAGGTCGAGTCTACAGTATCATGCATGTAACACGACACTTGCACGATAAACGCGACGTTCGCGCGACGCGCGCGACTTAGGCGACATTTCCGCGACATAGGCGACACTTGCGCGACTTGCGCGCGCTTTAGGCGAATTTTCCCGCGCCTAAGCGCTATAGGGCGCCTGACTTCCCACTGTGTTTTCCCATGTCCAACCAAGTTCCCAGGTATGCATTTCTCCATTTATCATTTATTTCAACATTGTACCATGTTTATTTTCACTTGGTACACATTTTTCATTACACATTTTTTACACAACACAACACACATTACCAGGGACCACCATCATCATAGACAGTCACTATCTCCGAGTTTTTATTATGTTTTGAATAAATCATCGCAAGCCCTAGTAGCAGTTAGCTCTAGTGGCCATATCCGCATCAGTTGTCTTATCAGCATCTCAGTACACGTCTTAACATCTCACTATCGCTCGCATACTGCTTTCACCCAGTTCCGCTTTTCGACGCGCGACTTTCCTGCGCTTCGCGCGCCTATAGCGCCTTTGTTCCTGCGCTTTCGCCTTATCATGCGCTTTGCGCATTCCCCCTAGAGTTGACCAGTGGATATTTGCTTTCTCCGCTTCCCCTAAGGGACGAACATATCGCACTCATATTTTCCTCCCTTCAACAATTATATCAGCTGCACCCTCAGCTGAGTTGAAGATCCTTCAGCGGGAATATGAGATGTCGCCTAAACGCACGACAGGCTTGACTTTGTGAGGTCGATGACACCTTTGCCTGTGAGCATGTCTTTGCACACGTGGATGTATTTGATGTGGGCGAGGATGAGGGTACTGTTGTAATCGCCTGTGACTGGATAGGTGATATCTACGGATTTGTAGAGCTGTTGGGAGGCGGCATGATTAGCGAGGGAGCGGACTTGACATGAAATGAAATTAACTCGCACTCCACGCTAAAAGCGCTTTCCTTGATGCGGGAGGCTTTTATTTGCGCGTGAACACCTGGTCGCTACTGCATATATTGTGTCATAAAGGAGGACGCACGCATTTTTCCTTTGCCAAACCACTGATAGTCCACTCGTCGAAGCTGAGAGGAGGTCTATAACAGCTACATCTGTGTTCTCAACAAATAGCTCGCTGATGATGTTCACGGTGAATCCTTGGCTGTTCTTCAAGTTCGCGATTGTGTCTTTGAGGCGGCCTGGAGCGTAGTGGTTGCATACGAATGAAATGATAAGCAGGTAGTTCATGAACTATGGGAAGAGGTTATTGAATAGATGAAGAGACATATTTTCGTGTATTGCTCACTGTGTTAAACCAACTGATGGATGCAAGTCAGGTAAGCGGGCAGAGCGCGTTAGATGACGAAGTGTGTTTTACCTGAATGGTATTAGGTTCTCTATGTCTTCTTCATTGATCGTGGATACAAATGCGATGTGGAGTGGTACGATACCTGAAATCAAGAGCTTGTAGATATCACTGTTGATTTGATCGCGATCACGATGGCGGCTGAATAACAGGTCGAGGAGTACGTAAGCCTTGTCTGTTTCTGCTGTATTATAGACCTTCCACCTGCAGATTCAAATGTGACTCAGTCTTTTGTGGGAGGAGTGATGTCAACTCTCTGTACGTCCAGGATGGAATAGGTGGTGGGCGGTGGAATCGAATGGAGGGATGGACGACTAGGTAGATGACGAGAGCAAAGCTGGCCCTGGATTTAGTTATGTACATGCATCTAAAAAAGTCGAGTCGGTCAATTTGAAGTCAAACTTGTTCTGAACAAGCCATATTTGGTGTAGCTCAGGATGGTGTTCGTAAACGCTTGTCTTGGTTTAATTGAGACAAATGTTATTCTGGATGGCACTTAAGTAAGTGAAATAATGAATTTTGCAAGGAAAGATAGCGATATTTAAGGTATGTACAATAAATCTAACAGGTATCATGAATTATATGTCATCGGCGATATCCGAGTCTGCATCCAAGTCTGGGTCTACTAGTAGGTCGAAATCTGACAGCTCAACTCTAACACGCTGCTGAGAGACCCCACAAACGACTATGTGATCCTTCCATTGGTTCAAGTCAGCTTTCTCCTCGTTGCTGAGGCTATCCATGTCTGCGCAGATAGCCTCAAATACAGTGGAGTTTGCCCCTGGAAATAACCTAGGTGTGGCACTGAGTGTCTCATGTCCCTGTTCCAACAGCGCACATTTTGTGATGGTGCCAGCTAATCCCATCACGTAGTGCAGCTGTTTGCGCGGCATTGTGAATAATTTGTCTAGTCGGAAGCGCGTATTCCAGATCAGTTTCCCGACGAGGTAGAGGATGAAGGGGTTTTGGAACTTCACATGGATGGTCAGTGTCCCATCCTAATTGAAAACTCATAAGCGCATGAGTTGAGGTGAACAAAAAAAACAATACCGCATTAAACGAATATACATGCATAAAAATGTTGTCTCGAACGAGACGTCTGACGTGATCACAATGAAAGGCCTCGGGGGGCATCTGGCTACCCAGCGGAGGGAAAAGCACGTATCCCATGACAACGCCTTCTCGAGTCAAGGTCGTGAGGACTGTGCGCACGACAATCACCTTCCGCCATATCGTTGTGATGTCCTTGCTTTGATTTTTCCAGTGTGGTATTCCTATTGGTCTGTCAGTTAATAAATTATTAAAAGACTTAACATACCGTCAAGTCCTGGAAACTTGGGTGCTGCTTTTCGAATCATTGATATTACAATGCGCTTTCTGTCGGCAGCAGACGATGCCTACCACAAGTTCTTGTGAGCGCTGGAAGATCTGATCACGGACAGCTCCCGTGACCTCAAAGTAACGCTGTTCATTTGGCACTTCTGCACGGCTTGCAGCCGCCTGCGTTGTTGCAGCAGTATCAGTAGGGTTCTGATGAGTGGGATCGGGGTTCTGGTGAGTGAGATTAGGGTTCTGGTGAGTGGGATATGGCGTGCTGGGCATCCTTCAAGTACGTCGTCTATTAGATGATCGTACAGGTCCTAGTGTCTAGAATGTAGAATTTTTAGTGAATTAAATGAAACACAGTTGGAACTTACATGGATGACCTGCAATTCCGGTATCTCACCCATTGTAACAGGGAGAGGACTGCGTTGGGGCTCCGGAGGTGGTTCAGTTTCGTCATTGTTGAACGATGGCGGCACCTGTATGTGATGTGGGTTGGGCGCTGTACCTGACATATTGTCGACATCTGAAAGTTTGTTGGGATGATTGGGGTTGTTGTATGGGCCTGTGAGATTCATTAGCAGCCATTTCTGATTCGTGATGAAGGAAGCGACTTACTCTCAAGTGATCCATACGGATTTTCATAGCCAGATTGCGCATTCTCATATCTAGACAGTGAGTTCCCATAGGAGCTTGAGGGTCGATACGGCGGAATGTCGTGACTGGCACCAAAGTGACCCAAGGATTGGTAGTTGGGGGCAGTACCCATGTAAGCGCTCGACAATGGATCAGTGCTCACGCTGTGAGTGTCACGGTTTTCATGGTCGAAAGGCACATAACTAGCATATGGATTAGTATGAGCACTCGATGATGAACTAGCGTATGTGTTGTAGTTATCGTGGTGAAAGGGTGTATAACCGTCACGTGAATCAGCGCGAGTGATTAATGATGGACCTGTGTGAGCGCTTGAAAAAGGATCAGGATGAGCGCTTGATGATGGGCCAGGGTTATTGTCGTAGTTGTCATGATTGAAGGGCACATAACTGGCATGTGTACCCAAAGATTGATTGCTGTGGCTGCTGGGAGTAGCGCATGTATCAGTACTAGCTATCAAGACAGAGAAAAACACACCGTGAGCTGAACGCTTCATGTGGATTGAAAGTGTTTGCCATAGGCTCGCGTGGTTGTTCGTCACTGAGATGCAGTTGAGTCTCCGCAGGCAAGTGCAAAGGGTTTAGACCAGACCCACGAGTGGGTTTTGGAATCGTTGTTTTACCTTTAGTGCGTTTGGGAGGCATATACTGGCGGGACTCGAGTGGTTGAGGGTGTAGTAAGGGCGGAGGGTACAGATAAATATCCACATAGCATTCTACTACAAATCATACTTAAACAAGATATATGTCATCGAGAAGCAACGAGAAGACGCTAGAGAAGGGTAAGATGAAGGGGTACGATGTAAAAGTAAAGCATGCAAGTGACAAACCGATGCAATAAGGGGTCATCATAATGAAACAGTAACACTACTAGCGGTGTGCATATTACATGACCTATTATCAATTGATCAGTATTGTACAGTGAATTCAAGAAATCTCTTCACATACCACGATTGGAAGGGCATGCGGCTGGATAGCCACCGATCATGTTCACATGATGGAGCTAATCACATCATGAGGCGGTTCGCCAGCCCCCACCCCGAGACACTCTTCTTCTTCAGAATCCAGGTCCGAGGAATCGTCTAGAATAATGTGACCGTTATCTTCATCGTCATTGATCTCAGGACTAGAGAGCTGGGATTGCGATTCCGCAGTGCCGGATTGCAAGAATGCACCTTTGACTTGTCAACCTAAGATCTTTGAGATCTGTTCAGCTTGAGCTGAGGTAACATGAAGGATTTCGCATTCATCTTCATAGATGGCTTGAAGGTAATCTCTATCGTCGTCAACTTGCACGCGGTCACGCTCAGAAAAAAACCTTCTAAAGCTCTGCAACTCCTTGTCTGCTAACCCAAAATGTTCTTCATTTTCAGCATGTAAGGCATCAAGGAAAGTAGTGAAGCGTTCTGATTCCTCAATTTCCCATGCAGTTACCACAAGGCGCTGGTGGGCAGTCTCGCGAGCAGCAAGCTTGGCTTTGTATCCCTTGTACAGGGTTGATGGACACAGTTGTGCAAGGCCATTTTCCAAGTTTCCAGCGTGCTTTTTAAACATAAAAAATCAATCTTTGTAATTGGAGGGAAGAAATATATCATACCTTGAGAAGTGATTCAAATGATACATATGGGTTGGGCTCTCGCCCCATGACACGGGCTGCATAACGGACCTCGATTGGAGCTGGATACATGGGATACGGATGCTGCTTCTTGCTCATTCTGTCATGTACGAACTGGCGTCGAGCAGCGCGTTCAGGGTTTGGAGATTGAGACAGATCAAATAATATACTATCCATCTCTTCAGCAGGCTTAGGTGTCCCAAGTCTTCTTTCTTGCCTTGTGCTTTGTGGTGAAGCACATAAGTCGGAATGCATAGTATCGGGGGAGCTCCCTGACTTGGAGCCAGAATAAAAAAGGGGCGATCCAGGAGTGGTGGCACGTCTGCTGGATAGAGGAGAAGATGGGGGGCTGCTTGATGGAGGACCAGGGGGACTACTGGGGCGAGGAGGAGATGAGACTGGGGGGGGACTACTGGGCTGAGAGTGAGATGGAGAAGACATTGTCTATAAGCACTTTGAACTTAACGCTGGGAGAAACCTACTGATATATGAAAGAAACCTAGTAATATCATAGGCTGATATCAGTATGGGAATGCCCTGCGAATGCACAGTCTGCGGAGTCTGAAAGACTTAGCACTGCAAGCGTCAGCAAAGCTAACAAGGAAAGAAGACTGCTCAGCCATCTGGTTAGCTTTGGCAAATGCAAGTATCTTCTATCGCTTTATTATGATCCATACTAACATACCTATGCCAGGCTGTGTCCCAATTGCAATGTGGAGTTCCCTTCCATTGACGCAGTTATCCTGCACCTTAATTCTCAGTCTACCTGTTGGCCGCATGAATCACGTCCGCAACAATTCCCAATTCCACCTGGATTGCGAGGTTCTCATTCATCAACATCTTCTACCACTGGTCATTATCATCCTCAAGCTGGGTATGTCTTTGGTGTCGGCAAAAACCTGTTTGACAGGTTGCAAGAAGATGAATATGATTATCAGAGGAAAATGAACACTTATTACCCTTTCCACGACGAAGGAGAGTGGGAACTGGGAAGGTTTTTAGTTGAGAACCTAACTCAAACTCAGATTGACAAGTTTTTGAAGTTAAAATGGGTAGGATAGGACTTGACTCAGAGCGCTATTTGACAGGTCTGACCCCGAGTCTATGTTTACAGTTTCACACCCGCCCAAGGCCATCTTTCACCTCGAAAGACCAGCTTCTAGACTGGGTCGATGCACTCCCCTCTTTTGTGCCATGGAAGGTCTCAAACATAGAGTTCACAGGCTACAAGACGACTTATCCTGTACAACTCATCTGGCGTGATGCTTTAGAGGTCATCAAACAACTCTTCAGTGATCCCGTTTTTGCCAATCACATCACCTTTCAGCCGCATGTTGTCAATACCAGAGGTCAGCATGAATATGGAGACTATATGAGCGCTGATATGGCATGGAAAATCCAGGTCAGTTTTATTTGTTTGCCTGTTCAAAGACTGATTCTGTGTTCTTAGGACCATCTACCAGTAGGCACTACACAAGTACCGATTATCTTGGGATTGGATAAAACACCTGTGACACGCATCACTGGAGGGCTCGAGATGCACCCGCTCTTCATCACGATTGGTAACCTGGACTCAGAAGTTCACTCTAAGGCCACACTACGAGCTTGGCATTGTATTGCTTACATGCCTATTGCTAAGTTTCGTGTGCATCCTGACTATCAGTGCATTTTGCAGGCACGGTTATGGCACAAATGTGTCGATCTTGTCTGCGCCAACCTCAAGATCGCTGCAAAGGATGGTTGTTTTATGCGCGATCCTTCCCGATATATTCGCTATGTCTTTACACCACTTGTCGCTCACGTATGTGACCTGCCAGAGGCTATGATGATCGCTGCAGTCAGTAAAAGCGCATCTCCTATCACTATGGCAATGCAAGCAAATTTTGGCGATGGTGTTCTCTACCCTCCTCGCACTGGGCATCATACGCTCCAGGTTATCTATGAGATCTCCAAAGAGGTTGATCCTTGGGATCTCGATAAATTCCAGAAGGCAGCAAAAGCGGCTCACCTGTCTGGAGTTCACATGCCATATTGGAGCAATTGGATGTTTGCATGCCCATCCATCTTTCTCGCCGGTGAAATTTTGCATACCTGCATTAAGTTTTTCGCAGACCATCCACTCAATTGGGTCAAGGAGACAGTAGGAAAATGCGAGCTTGATGCTCGCTTCATGGTTCAGCATAAACGGGTAGGAACACGGCACTTCACCAAAGGCGTCACCCATGTCAATCAAATGACAGGGCGGGAGCACCGAGACATTCAACGCACCATCGTTGCTTCAATTGCAGGCATCGCTGCACCCAGATTAATTCGTTCAATCCGTGCGCTCATAGAGTTCATCTATCTTGCTCAGAATCCTGTTCATTCTCCTGATTCCCTGCATTCGATGGTTCAAGCGCTTTCAGATTTTCACGCATTCAAGGATGCTATCATCAATGCCGAGGCAAGGAGGGGAAAGAAGGGTGTTAAAGAATATGCGCAAGCTCCCCGTTGATAACGACACCCAATCCAGAACCTGTGCGAAGATTTTTTCATTCCGAAACTCGAGCTATTGCAAAGCTTCCGAGGCACGGTTGAGAGACTGGGCACATTGATGCAGTTTTCGGCTGATATGACAGAGCGCTTACTCATCACACACTGCAAGCATCTCTTCGAGCGCACAAATCGGCGGTCTACTGATTTTACGGAACAGTGTGTACGGATCCTCAATCGCCAGGAGTCCATGGAACTATTTAACCTGTACGCACTATTCTATTCTCGTGGCGCATCACTCGTCAATGCCATACACATTGAAGATGAAGAAGTGACAACCGTTAATCCAGCGCTTTCCTGGGTTTCTCGTGTTCTCCCTGATGAAGCACACTCTGTTCATGGACCTCGGCCAGTTCGGAATCATTTTCTTAAGGGCATTCTTTCTGAAGATGCTCTCACCGCCTTCCATTTAACTTCGACACCAGATTTCAATGCTCTAACACCCATCAGTATTCAGACCAAATATTCACTTCTTGACTTTGATCACACGCTCTCTCGGTTTATTGATCAGCTATCCCTCTCCACTGGCGAGCATACCCGCTGGGACCACAGATATGGACGCTTTTGCACATGGAATAAATTTCGGCCACAGCTTCACTCTGCTTTTCAGTCACAAGTCATCATGCCAAGCAGGGTGGTACAAGCATACCCACCGAGTGATGCATTCCCCCTCGGAAATTGTGATACTGTCCTAATCAATGTCATGGGTGATGACGGCCAAACTAGTAAGTCTATTTTTGCAGTCGTGTTTTAACACTAACTCGGGATGAATTTCAGCCAGTCGTGTTGCACAAGTTCGCCTTATTTTTCAGCCAAAGATTCCGCGAGCTTCGAACCTAGTGTTGCTGACGTTCCTCTCCAGTCCACTCCTTTACGTCCAATTCTTCCATTTCGTCACTAATCCCAACGATCGTCCAGAACTCGCAATGTGGACGGTAGAGCGCACATACATGATAGACCAACATGGCGAACGCTATAGGTGTGGTGGTGTGGTGTCATTGACGGATGTAACACACGCTGTCGAATTGATACCAGAATATGGTAACAAGGTGGACGAGAAGATTTCTTCGGCCACCTCTTTGGAGAGCTATGATCGGTTTTTTCTGAACAGCTTCACTGATAAGGAAAGTTATCATACATTTAGTACAGAGTTCACATAGACATGTCAGTAGCTCATCTTAGTAGTGACAGCGCCATTGAATGATACCATGTATGATTGCTACAATCTTTTATAACGGTCGTCACTGCTGATCACAAATGGCCCTAGTCTAGGGTTCGGAATGCATTCCGATGCATTCCAAACCCTAGACTAGTAGTTCCAAACAGGAATTTCAATATAATACCATTATTTTCTCCCCATTTAACAGTCGTGACGCTACCACGTCATTAAATTGACATTTTACTACAGATAACTTTGTCCCACCAATCGCGTCGCTCCATCACCAACGCCATAAGCTCACCGTAAGCATCAAACTTCTTTCTGACAAGCGAAAATTATGGGTCTTTTGCTGATGTGGTTGCAGATTACATAAATATCTTAAAGTTTCAGGCCTCGTGCCCTGGGCATCTATATAAATAATACACAAAGCAGGTTAAGGCTGTGAAGAAGCATCAAACGGCCCGGTACACGCACCTCTGAAACTTGGATCAAGACACCCACAAGCTCTCCAGCAAGTTTTGCTAAACACGACCCACCTCGAGCAGAATGACGGAAGCAAACAAGCCCGCCATTCAAATCACCACGCCCAGTCAAACATTCAAAGGTCATGAACGACTTGTTAGGGGAGTCGCAGTCTTCCCCGACAGACGCCGTATGGTGACGGCCTCATATGACAAGACGCTTCGTCTGTGGGACTTGGAAGACGGCGTTGAGCTGAAGAAAATGGAGGGGCATCACTTCGACGTACAAAGAGTTGAAGTGTCAAGAGACGGGCAAATCATAGCAAGCGGTGATGAAGGTGGAGCGCTCATCGCCTGGAATAGAGACGGCGAATCTCTCACTCAACCCATGGTCAATAGGGAAACGCACGGGTACGGGTAACACCGCGGTTCTATGCTGACGGGTTTGGAGGGTACGGGTACGGAGTAGGATAGTCGTACCCTTGAGCATACCGTGGCCATTCACCGCGGGTTGACGGTGTTTGGGCGGGTATAATATACCAAATCGGGAACCAGGCGCGCGACAGCCATTGAACACCGTGTTTGATTCTCTGTTTTTCCTTCCTCTGAGAGCTTGAGGATCACAAGTGAATGCTATACTGATTTCTGTCATGTCTTTTGTACCCCCGTGAATCATGAGTACTTCCGTGAGCATTCCTGGGAGAAAGAATGGATTGACATTGCCGAGAAGCTCGTTCGCGAAGAGTTTATTGATAAATACGAGAAATCTGCCGAGATTACTGATGACATTGAAGCAGACACAGTCCGTATGCAACATTTAATTTTGCACTGACACTGACAACTATACAGAACGAGGATGACTTTGGTGACTACTCACTTGGTTCCATGTCTCGTACTACTAGTAGCGAGTTGGATGAGTTTCTTCGATTACCAACTGTGAAAACCAAGGACCCACTCGCATGGTGGCAAAACAACTGCCGTGCTTATCCAATGCTGCATCGGATGGCACTCGACTATCTCTCTGTCCCAGGTATGTCTCCTTCGAATCCTCTTTCAATCAATCAATACTTATTATCTTGCTCAGCAACATCAACTGCGGTTGAACGTGTCTTCTCGCAGGGCCGGCAGCTCCTTCATTTTACTCGCAACCGACTCGCACCATCAACAATTCGTGCCTTTCTCTGCCTCGGAGCGTGGGGCAGAAGTGATCTTCTGGTGATGGAGGACCTTTTAGCCGCTGTCAGGACTCAAAAACGGAAGCGAAATGAAGTCGAAGCAGAGGAGAATGACAAGGAAAAGTAGTACTATTTTATTTCATTGTTGTTAATACTTAATACACTCTTCTTGGTAATGTACCCGCGGTGTTCAGAGACACCGCGGTGTTTTCCATAAACCGCGACATTGACGGGTCGGTGTGTACCCGTACCCGTGAAGGGTACGGTGTTGGCGGGTGCGGGTGCGGTGTCAACTTTCCGACCCTCGGTGTTACCCGTGTGGTACCCTAATGGTCAATGTCCACTTCAACTATATATGGTCGCTCGATTTTTCCCTAGACAGCACATTGCTGGCGAGTGGCTCATATGATGCCACAACGGTGCTCTGGAACACAAAAACATGGCAGGTGCAAGGAAACCCAATAAATTGTCACGCTGAAGTCCGCTGTGTTCGGTATTCGCCGTCTGGTGAACATCTTGCCATCGCAACACACCGTGATATCCAAATATGGAATCCAGACAAGAGGGAATGCATCGCAAAGATCCAGGGTCACTCTGCATTCAATGGAGCATGGAATCTTGCACTCGCGTGGACGCACGATGGCAAACAGCTTCTCTCGGGTGGTAATAGTCCTGATCCCACCATACGGATCTGGGATTCATCGACCTGGAAGCAGGTCAGCGAATCCTGGAAGGGCCATACTGATCATGTCGAGATGATTGCCTTCAACCCTGCTGGCACCCTTCTCGCGTCCGCATCTTCAGACCACCAGGTGCGCCTTTGGCGGCTTTTGGATCGACAAACTATCGCCACATTCCAGCACCCCAGTCTGGTGCATTGTGTCACCTTCTCCACGGATGGCAAGGACATCCTGAGCGGAGGTGGCGATAACATGGTGTCAAAGTGGGCAGTACCTTTGCTGGAGGACATTCTCGAGGACCAGACATCAGATGTAAGTTTCTGTTTATTTTCCGTCCCTTCTTCACCTCATTTTCTCCAAGGATGCGTTACTGGATGATGCCCCAAAAGAACAAGTGGCAGATGGTGTGAGTTCCCGTTCATTAATTATCTCCTTCCAAATTGATCCTCAATCTTGATACCAAGGCTCAACAGCCTGATTACCAGGCACGGTTCTAACCTTCACTCCTACCACGTAATCTGACCATGTGTGATGCAGATCCTCGCTATCAATACGACAGCCCGTGATGCATGCATAAGCGGAGACCTGCCTACTGCTGACAGGCTGCTCACACAAGAGATCAACGCTGATAGCAACGACTACAACTCTTACGCGAATCGCTCGTTTGTTATGGCGAGAAAAGCCGATTGGAACCGCGCACTTGATGACGCACTCAAGGTGAGATGCACTGTCCCGTCGTGACTATTTTTAATACAGGCTAACTTATATGATGATATAGAGCATCAGTATTCAGCCCTCCTTGATGGGCTGTATCTCCAAGGGAATCGCCTACTGTGGAAAACGACAGTTCCAAGATGCAATGAAAGCGTTTGACCTCGCGTTCATGTATGTGGACGCAGACTTGAATAAAACTCGTCTTCTACTTTTGATTAAGGCACGTCAATTGTGTCTCATGCACTCACTACTTACACGACAGCTGTCAGGCCATCGCCCTTTTCAATGCAAATCAACATGACGAGGCAATTCTGCGCGTCCAAGAGCTAGCTACCACTCGCCCCAATCCAAATTCTCTTGCATGTGGTATCGTGGAAGTGAGTGCTCCTGACACAGTCAACTCCAGATTCATGCATCGATACTGATTTTGCGAACCTCGCACATCAGGCTTATCTACACGTCCAAGTGGGAATGAATGCATTAGATGACGCACGTTACAACGAAGCTGCTGGCCACTTCACTTCCGCTGTCAACACTATCGGTTTCTCATCTATGTCGGACATTTATTTCAAATATGACATCTTCGTGGTGGTAGGTGTATACCAATGCAACTGGAAATCATTTTTTCACGCCTGACTGTGCTTTTTCTAGTTATTCGGGTGGGACCTCAAGTCCTTGTGGCGAACTGCACACCAGAATTGGTGTCATACATTTCTTCAGGCAGGCAGATGTCCAGAAGCCATGAAAGCCTACCGATATACGATGGATAGAGCTGATGAGGCTACGAAAGCACGCTGTCTTGATTGGTCTACTGGCAAGTCTTCATGATGCCAACCAGGTATAATTCTCAACCCCATATTGCTTAGCTTTCAAGCAAGAGTGCAGCATGCTCTATGCTGCGGCCGGAGTGACTGACCTTGCTGCGAGCGGAGATGCTGCCCTCGCTGCAGGTAATTACGACAGGGCTATCGAGTTTTACTCTGCGGTGATCGACCTTGATGTCGCAACCGATATCATCTTTGCGAACCGCAGTAAGGCGAGGTCGGGAAGAATGCTATGGGATGATGCACTCCTCGATGCGGAAAAGGTGTGATGACAGCTACCATTTCGTATTCGACGCTCATTTTGGTGATGCGCAGGCCATCGAACTCAATTCTTCATCTTACTTTGGATATCAATCGAAGCATGCAGCACTTCATGGCGCGCACCGATATGACGAAGCCATCGAGGCGTTCAAAATCATGCTTTCCAAGTTGGAAAATGCTCCTGACACGCAAACACAAGGTACGCCCCCAAATAGTACATCTTTCAACATTGTTGACTCTTTGTCCAGACTTGCGCCAACAGTATGTTAGTCCATCTGAAGCAGAAGGAGCCATTCGAGAGACAATCAAGGTTCAACTCGACGACGCCCCGCATCGTTTAATCGACACCTCCACTGGGCACTTGTGCAGTCGCGAGGTACAGATCAATGCCTTCAAGATAAGCGCAGAGTACAAAGAACTTTTGTCATCCACGATGAAGCATGCAGACCTTCAAATGGAGCGCGTCAAAGACGCGGTGGCGATGTACTTCCGTTATGTCATGCTATCGCATAGGTGGGAAGGGACGGAGCCGTCGCCGCATGACATCCAGGGCAAGGTGGTATACGACTTGGATCCAGTCGGCGGCATCGCGAAGTTGCAGTCATTTTGTAAAACTGCTCGTGATATGGGGTATCGCTGGACTTGGATCGACACCTGTTGCATCGACCAGACTAACAATGTCGAGGTCCAACAATCGGTCAACTCCATGTTTTTATGGTATCGCCACTCAGCGCTCACCATTATCTACCTGTCGGATGTTCCACCTTCGTCGCAGCCTGGGGCACTTGCAAGTAGCATTTGGAACACGCGAGGATGGACAGTTCAAGAATTCCTAGCCCCAGAATGTGTCCTCTTTTATCGGAAGGATTGGACCCTATATCTCGACAATCGTTCTCCCAACCACAAGGATTCCCTTGAAATCATGCAGGAGATGGGAGATGCGACGGGCATAAATGCACGGGCCCTCATCGCATTCCGTCCGGGGATGAGAGGCGCCCGGGAGAAACTCCAATGGGTGTCGGCCCGTGTTACCACATGGCCGGAAGATATTGCATACTCGTTGTTTGGTATCTTCGGCGTCAACCTACCTGTCATTTATGGGGAGAAGAAGCAAAAGGCGCTCGGGAGGCTCTTGCAGGAGGTCGTAGCTCAGTCGGGCGACATCAGTGCCCTGGACTGGGTCGGACAATCATCCGAGTTCAATAGCTGTCTGCCAGCCAACATCACTTCATACGCAGCTCCGCCGTGCACGCTGCCATCTCTGTCCGAAGATGAGATTCAGACTTCGGTCTCCTTGCTGCGAAACACCGAGGCTATGGAATCAGCTTCGAAGCTTTATACCCTTCTCGACCGCATGAGCGCTCCTCGTTTCGCGAACTGCAGACTACAGCTGCCTTGCATAGCGTTTCGCGTCACGACAGTGAGACGGAGTCGTGCTCAAAACCAGGATTCACATGCCATGTATGAAGTCAAGGCAGACGGTCTTTATGATCTGCTAATTACCACAGAGGACAAACTGATTCCGTCCTCGTGGACACTTGCCACGCGGCAGACATTCTTGTTCGTCCGTCCGTGGGATCGTGATCTCCTCGAGCTACCCGATTTTGCGGAGCTGTCTGGCTTGCCAGGGCTGCCTGACATTGCAGAAGACACGCAGAGCGAGGAAGATTATTGGTCTGCACCTGGGACTTCCGTTACAAGATTCGCCTGACGGTTCCTTTGAAGCGCAGGAGCCGGTTGATTTGGAATCGAGCGAGCAAGCGTTGCGACTGGTCGTTCGCCTTGGACAGCCTTTCAGCGCATTTTTGCTAGCGCAGCGGAGAATACAAGAGAATCGCATCAGATCATACCATTATTGCACAAGTCAACGACGTGGCCTTTGCTCAGGACATAATGGACGTCAGGATACTCGAGATATTGTAGTTAGCAGCTAGCATGTTGTAGATCTCTTAAGAACTTCTCATTCTCGAATCGACAGCTATTTGTATGCACCGTAATAATCTAGCCTTTCTACTTGTATCCACGGCATCTCATATTTGTACACTTTGAAATTTCAGACCCTGATGTGGCATCACGTAATACTAATAGGCTGTAATTGACACTGCGGACTCGAAACCTGCCGATAAATATCCTTATCACACCTACTCATGAACAGTTCTTTGGAGGTTCATCTCAACTTGCGAAGCTTCCTGGGCCTGGCCTCTTTGAGATTCACATTGGCGAGACCGTTCGTGTGGAGAAGAAAACGACTTGATTCAAACTAACTGTTGAACAGATGTACTACGTTCGTACAAAATCGTTTTCGGGGAGGAGAAGACGACAAGGGTTTCGGGCGAGGGCGCGCAGCGCCCACCGGCCTCGAAAGGGCTTTAGCCTAAAGGAAAAAGGGTGAGCTGTGAGGGCGGGTGGGCCGCCTCGCAGTGATTTGGCTAGTTTGCCCCTTCAGGGTCCAAGGGTAAACAAAAGGTCTCTCTCTGAGTGTTAGCGAGGCGTTCATTTGCGTTTTTGCGCAACGAAATCAGGGAGAGGAGGGTGGGGAAAAGAAAAGCTAAGTCGACGACGACGCAGCAGAAGAAGAAGAGGTGCGAACGTCACGCTTATTGTTCGCTCAAAGACTTAACTCTATTTCCTCCGCTCGTGCCTCGCTACATAATAGAGTGGCAAAAAGTGAATCATTACACATCGGCAGTTTCGGAGTTTTGCCACAAGCTAGACTTTGATCACAATGTGATTGATAAACAAGGGATATTCAATTTGAATTTCGACATTGAAAACAACAACAAATTTAGATGATGGTGAAATGGCAGAGCAAAGTAACACATTTTGACAAAGATTCCAAGTCCTGTCTAAATAGATCGAAATATTTGAAGTTTTCGGAAGTTTTCTGCTCAGGAAAATGTCAATATAAAATACTTAAATTTGTAATCCAATTGTGTCCATAGGTAAATACAAAATTTGAGTGTGGAAAATATTCAGTAAAATATTATATAATGACCAGCATTCCCATTCCAGTTAAAAACTCAAATTTTCTTGATCATGAAATGTGTTATGGAAAATGCAAAGTTAAATGCATGATAAAATTATATGGGCACTAGCTGTGCATTCAGAACACAACAGATAATGAGGTGTTTATTTATTCGGTACGGTAATGTAATGATGGTACTGTAAATGGTATGGGTAAATGGTATGGGTAAATGGTATAGGTGCTGTCACATGGTTGTGTGCGACTGTTCTACAAGACAAATCTGATTGAAATGCAAATTAATAACAGTTGAAGCAATTGCAATATCTACAGTGTTCTTCTTAAGGTTGCACTTAACCACATCACAGATGGAACTGCGATGACTCCCATCCAGAACAATGCACTGTTGGTTTTTTTTGCAGGGAGGAGCTGGGCTCAGATATGTGACAGGTATATGATAGTGCTGAATTGCAGCACCTGCACTGCTCGATGAGCAAGACACTGCTAGACAACCCTCAGGGGCAGGTCCATTCAGACCAAGGAAGGGATCAGGACAAGCCGTCAACACAAATTGGTTATGTAGCCTGCCTCCCATGCACGAGGGTGAGACTTTTAACATCACATGATGCGTGGTGAACTGGAGAAAAAATTCCTTCTTCATCAGCCAAGCTAGCGGCCCTATGATGAAATCAGATGAATGATATAGATGCCTCCATAGATTGACTCACCCTCTTTGAGTTTATCCAATCGAGCATCAATACTATCTAGTATATCGTTGGAATTGACAGTCCAGGGGTTGAGTTGGGCAGTCATACTGGGCAAAGGATTACTGGCCTGATCCTCAGGGCTGGCGGTCCACATGGATGATGATGTGCTAGGATCTGCAATGGCAACCGACGAGCTGGGGAGAACCTTTTCAGGTGGGGGGGTGACGCTTCGAGGTTGTGGGGCTAAGTACGATCTTCCCCGCATCTCACAGAAAGACACCATGTCTATTCCTTTGAGCATCACACCATTTAACCTCATTCCATACCTGAATAACTATGAACAGTTCATCCAATGTAAAAATGTACATGTTGCTTACCTGGTTGCAACGTCCTTGGGTTTGATCTTGGTGCGCTGCTGCCCATGCACGGCAACAATGCAATTCTCGGAGGTGAAACTATAGAGCGTGCCTTGGTAGCCCTTACGGTCACCCCCAATGATGAATACTTCTTTGCCAATATCCTTTTTGAAAGAATCCAGGCTGACGTTGTGTACTTTTATCACAAATGAGATGGGAACTTCAACCTGAAGGAAGTCAGGTATGCATGGGTTGAGGAAAATATTACTCACAAGAGCATGGTCAATGTCAGAGAGTAGGGTCAAGCGAGCATTTGGAAAGTCGACACTTTGCACGACCCCTTTTGTCTGATACTCTGGCCCTCGGGTGACTCTTACAACATCTCCAGGTTTGACATCATAACCCTTGTCTTGCGTGTACTGTAATGTCTGGAGGTGGGGGAGGTGCATCCACTGAACAACTGAAATGGGAACTGGAATATGCAATGTTCCGTCCTGGAACCACAGATTGTCTCCTCCCTTGGGGAGCCAGTGCACGATCCCACACTTCCCTATGTGCTCTCCAATAAGCACTTCTATGAAGTCCCCTATTTGAATAGATTTGATATTGGGGGGAGGCTTAAAAAGTTGCTGCGTTGGCAGCCATGCTTGCAGCACGTGACTCAGAGGGTGATGGTCTAGATAATGCTTCAAAACTTCCACCTATGCACTGTGTTAGACGATTTTGCAAAATACTCAATTAAAAAGAGACATTCACCTGTTCCTTTGAGACGTCTTGACAAATACAAAATATATCATCTACCATCTGAATGATGTACCCTTCCACACCCAAGTATGGACCTGCGACCACTCGAACTGCACTGCCAATCTGAAACATGCACTCTATGTCCTGTAATCGAAGTTCAACATCCTTTCAGTGTCCACTCAAGATCAATTTCAAGGTGGCAGAACTGGCAGGATGGTTGGTTGAGGTGACCTCCCCGATTTCTGAACTTAGATCTCCTTTGATGATCCTGGCCCAATCACCTACATGCAAGAACTGCATTGATAATGCAACCACAGTTCTCTTAAGGAATGATTGGTTCCACCTAGATTGTAAATGGAGTTGAATGTTGTCAGCATGAGGGCAGACGACATGTTCTAAGCGATCGCAGTGGAAGTTGTGAAGTAGGAGGCCCATATAATACATTTCTCCTTTGAACTTGAATCCTACAACTTCTTCGCCATTGTTGATGTCAGAGACTGTGTTCCTGTTCGGAAGGCGGGATCGGTCGAGTAGGGACTGAGATCTCGGAGGCATGGGGTATGGGAAATCCCGTGGCGGAACTAAGACCGCAATGAAACCATTCAGTAGATCGGAATCGAAGACTTGGGCTATGTCGCCCTGATACTTGCCACACTTTATCTTCACCCAAGCCAGGTTGGGAAGCTTGTTGTAAGAATGCTCGACCACTTCACATTCCTCATCCAATATGCAAACATATTGCTTCACAGCGAGGTAGAGCGAGAAAGGAAGTGACTTGGAAATTGTTTTAGGGCTGTCTGCCACCACGTAAAGCTGGCCAGCTATCCAAGCTGACACCTTGACGGCAAATTTTTTCTTCCAAAGGTGTGCAGTGATATAATCCGTGATGTTTCCTGTAATGGATGAGTGAAAAGATGACATTACGTCAATAGAAAGACTTACGCTGAACATGAAGAAGATACATTCTCCCGTCCTGTAATCCAACTGAAGGGATCAAGTCAGATATCGAGGAGGGAATAGCCTGGCAACCATGCGATGAGCTGTGCTGTCTTGCCTCGAATCTATGTGTCATGTCATTGATGACCGTGGCAAACCTATCGGCCAATGATGATCCTGGCAAAGATGTAACCTTCCACGAATCAGAGGGGCCATCGTGGTCGTGGTCCTCCACCTCCTCATCTTCATCCTCATCCTCCTCTGCATCCAGATTGAGGTAGGGATTTTTAACTAATGTGGCTGTTTAGCAAATGAAGGCATTGGAATCATGTTATTTTGCTTACTTTGGCTGGTCTGTGCGAACTTTGAATGTGTGCACTGAATGATCGTCTTTCGGCCAAGGAAGAATCATTGGGAGCAGATACCAGATGTATGTGCTTCGCCATCACAGCATGAAGGTTTGTTAAGGCGAGGTCGTCATCACCATCGCCGGAAAATAGCGCATCTCAAGATTCCTTCCAATCGTTTGGAGAATATCGGTTGCCGAGGTACGATGAAAGGGCTTCTTCCATCTGAGCGTATGACATGTCTGTGGTAAGGAATTGCTCCAGAATTGCCCATGCATGTTTATCCGCCAGCAGTGCTGTCTGATTCCCTGTGATAAACTCGTGAGTAGATGATATTGGCAATATAATGATGCTACTCACCATCATCAATTCTGATGCGCTTCGTGATAGGTGCATCATCATTGGATGCAGCACGTTTAGACATGATTTCTGTGCTCTATAGAATATGATTTAGGATGATTTAGAGTTATAAGTCAACTTGATGTCACATACTTTGATATGTCTATTTGATAGTCTACTCTAAGTAGTGTTGTGTTAAGGTTGTAGTAACGGAAAGAAAACCATGAAGGCGCTAAATCAGTATTTATAGGGAACGACTAATTTGGAAGTGTGGAGATTGTGGATGATGATGCACACAGCAAATTGTCTATTGTATGCATATGGGAGGTAATTGTGGACCACAGCGCTCTTTTGTGTCCCAAGTTTAATTGTTGGACTTCAGCAAACCCAAGTACTATAGTTAATACCACTAATACCAGTGATAAGATAGCGTACAACACTACAATGCAAGAATTGGAAAAAGATAATTTTGGAAAGATGCAGCCATAATATAGAGAATAACTACACATTGAAACTCAGTTGGCAGTCCGCCAGAACTTTCCAGAAGTGTGAAGTGGCGCAAAGTGGGCGCTTTCATATTTCGGGCGGAGTTTGATTATGTAGTTGTTCAGTATATAGGTAGTGTCTGTCGATAGGCTGGGCTTTCCTTTGGACTTTCACTTTTGCAATGCATTTGTTAGTGTACCGGACTGTATCTGTCATGTTGTACCTCATAGATTGTATGTATGCAGGACTTTAGAATTTGACTTTAGAATTTGACTTGGCATGTAGAACGTGAATCATAATCCCTGTCTTTCCACTTAAAATGTAATCTGTATAGTAAGTACGTGCTTGATTCAAACTGAAATAGTAGTTCACGCTGTGGGTATCACAACCTGGCAGGCACATATAAGAAAAGTGCTCAGCCAGTATAAGTGAGTCTCAGCTCTGCCTAGCTGCTATACTCGCAGAATGCAAGAACGTTCGACCCTAAAGGGGAAGCAAGGAAAGCAAGGATCCACGGAATGATGCTGAACAACCCTGGTGATTGGCGGTGAAAGTGCGAGAAATGCGCTGAAGGCGCGCGCGGGAAAGCGAAGTGCGAAAGTGCACGAAGCGCGGGAAGGTAGTGCAAGTGGTGCACAAGTGTAGATGGCGGATACTGAGACTGATAAGGGGAAAAGTGCGGATCTAGACGGATACTGAAGGTGCCACTAGCTATAGACTGATGCTAGGGCCTCAAAACGATGATGGATATATGCATTGCATGGGCTAACTGCCAAATAACATGGTGGTAGTAAGATGGTGGTAGGAAGCTAAGGTGGAATAGTTTGGTGTAAAACGAACATGAAAGTATGTAAGTTCTACCTAAGCGCTCTCCCAGGGCTTGGAGCCGAATAGGGAGCACTCTAAGTATGTAAGTGATGTAAAGTGATGTAAAGTAAGGGTCCATGATGAAATGAGAAGTGTAATATGCCAAATATGGTCAGATAACGAAAAGGGACATACCAAGGGACTGGTTGGACGATGGATGGATGCTCCTGGATGATGTGCGACATAGTGCGCTTAAGCGCGAGAAAGCGCGCAAGGCGCGCACGCGGGAATACTGCGCATTGTGCGGGAAAGTGTCGCGCCTATGGCGCGTTCCGTGGGAAAGTGGTGCGCTCTATAGGGAATGACTAGAGGGTGATGGTGCGAGTTGTGCCGTGAAGGCCAGTCATCAGAATTCGTAATATGAGCCCATATGAGCCTGCAGAAACGCGAGTCTCTACAACACCTTAACTTCAGGTTGCCACTGCATACTTCTCTGAAGTACTTCACGTCTAACTTCAGATTGTCGCTACATACTCTGAAGTTGCTACATACTCTGAAGTACTTATGGTGTGTACTTATGAATTCAAGATTGTCAATTTCCAAGAAGAATGACCACATGTAGCATATCTTCTTGCGGCTTTACGAGCTTCGATCGTCCGTCATGTCTTCTATTCATTCCCGAGCTTTGCGCTCTCTCAAGTTCTTCACCCCTCTGCGCCTCAATGTACTGTCCTACCAAGGAATGGATGTCAGCATTCATTAGCTCATCCATTTGGGCCAGCTTTGAATACTCTCACCAGGCATTTCCCAGCAATGTGATCCCCGATGTTTGTCCAATCAACTGGATTCCGATAAGTCAGTGCATGTTTTTCATCCCATTTTATGACACTAACATATGCCATGATTGCCATTGCGATAGCTAGCTGGACTATTCCACGCACAAAATTCTTAATTGCAATCCCCAGAGGACAGTCACTTGGTGATGTCTCACATTTGCGACACCGGATGGAGATTGTTGGCTCTGAGTCATTGGTAGATGTTGCTCCAAAAATCAGGCTGTGGTGTGTGCTATCATACATCTTGCACTCTGTCAAACTCATGTTACATTGATTGATGAAAATTACTCACCATGACGGTTTGTACTCACCCCCTGTCTGTGTGTTGCAGTACTTGCTTAATGCTGCCTTCATTCTTGTCAAAAATATGAATCCTCCCTGTGTCACTGCCTCCAACAACAAGGGTGGCCTGTTCCCCAAAAACAACCTGTTTTGGAAATGTCTTCACTGGATTGGTATTATAGGTACGGAGGCACACTCCATCCTCCAATTGATGCAAGCTAAATCTGTTCATCACATTGTCGATTAGGAACAGTGTTTGAGGAGTGTTGACGGCAGCGTGCCTGCTTTGGTAAATTAGTAAGTAAACTTTACTTGCCCAATGACATCGCTCACATCATTGGTCCAGCCTTATTTGTAGCAATGACAGTGCCATCTGAGCCCCGAAGCATATGGCTAAAACATTATCAAACCTCTGCTGATATGTATGGACATGGACATGCACCTACATCTTGCCATCATACATCCCAAATACTAACAAGTTTTTGCCCAGTGTTCAATTGAAATTAACAGTGCGTGGAATCATAGTGGAGAGTTCAACACTGAAGATTGGTATCAATGGTCCTTTGAAGTTGAATGCCCATACTTGAACCCGTCTGTCGCGTGTTCCAGTTGCAATACGAGTATTGTCACCGGTATGGTCATATGTAAGGCACATAATATCTTTACCCATTCCGATTCGTCTTGATACTTTTGCGTTAAAGTCCTCCAAGCCTTCCCCTTGCTGTTGCCAGATGGCTATGAAACCTAGGCCTGTGCCATAGCATAGTGTCTTGTGTGTTGCTTCTTGGTGGGTTATCCAGCATGCGCAAGTCACCAGATCGGCCGGATTTTGGATGGCTGGCATTTGATGTGGAGTTGGGAGCTGCACTCGTTGTTTGAGGTCACAGATCCTCATGCTGTCTGAGCCTGGTACTTGGGTGAGTGTGTGAAATGTCATTGTGAACATTCAACTTACCCCCGCTTGCCAACATATTTCCATTGCGAGTGACCGCTAGGCAATTAATTGCGTTCTTGTGCTCAAGGAGGCGCCCTTCAAGGCGGTGTGATGACAAGATATGGCTGGGCTGTAGGTAAAAGCACCAAACCAAAATATATGAGTCTCCTGCTCTCCTAGCTGCTACTCTTGCTAGCAAAAATGTTCGACCCTAAAGGATCTCTGACTAGGCTCAGGCTCAAGAAAGGAGAGTGGAGAAGGTACTCCAAGTCAAGGTAAGAAACTATGTTCCAGGAGCTATCTGGTGAGCTGAGGGAGCTACAACTAGGAAAGCTACAACTAGGGGATGCTACTAAATAACCCAAGTGAATGGGGAGCAACCAAAGAACTGGAAACAAGGGAAACTAGGTAATGACTGTAGAGTCCTAGGTAAAGGGAAGATGATTATGTAAGCAGCAAAAGTGCGAACCTAATCTAAGGAAAGTGTCAATAAGAGATGCATAGTGAAAAGTGCCTCTGCAAGGCTACAGAAAGTTTGAACACCACAGCGGTATTCTTTGCAATCATTGGTCGATAGGAAAAGCATCGGTAGTTGTCAATGCAGAGACCTTGTGTGGTTGAGTGTCTTTATAAGGTGGTTTATAGAATAAGAATATTACGCCATTTACTTTAGGTTTCCGATCTAGGCCTGCATTACCCACCATCATCATTAAATATCTTCCTCGCTTTCTTCACTTCCAAAGTCAGTCATGCCTCAATCCTCTGCTCTTGTCATTCCTTTTTATGCATCTGAAGGTCCTCCCCAGGCCCTTCCATTATCAACATATCACATGGAAATGTTTTGTCCTGCATTATCCTTCGTCTTGATATCCTCGCAAGAAGAGATGGCATTCTCTACTCTTCCACTTAGGGGACACACTCTTACTCCTTCCTGCGTCTTCACAACCATGTCTCGTGCAGCCACACCCATCCCTCCTCGCGTGCCTACCCCCAAAGTTGTTAAATTAGTCTCCTTCACGGCACAGCAGTTCACACCAAACAGCAAGGCATCAATGTATTCTTCCTTGTCCTCCATAGATTCTAAGGACTCTAAAATCCCCAAACCAGGGGGTGAGGCGGGGCGTCCTGGCCGTGGTGGGTACAACTTGGAAATGGCGTTCAATTGGGATGATGACTGCTTCAAGAATCTCAAGGTGATATTACACTTATTAGTTTTGTTTCCCTTCATCATCTTGACGTGACATTAGGAGTACGTTCACCGATATATCAAGAAACACTGCGACGTTAGCAAGAGCAAGAAACATCAAACTCCAGCTGCATTGCAAGAAGTTCATAGAGAGGTACGTGTGCAGTTGCTATGGCCGCTTGATATTTACTTCTTTTCCAGGCTCTAGGCCATTTTCCGGAACTGGCTGACTATCATGCGTGTTGGCCAGTTGGAGATATAATTCAGATGCAGCTGAAAAACACATCTGCCAAGGCACGACACAATGGTAAATAACAACAGAGACTCCATGTTTCCAGAAGGAGTCAGGTAGTCAAATGTGTTGTTGTCCCCAAAGGGAAATCAGTAGTCATCTGATACATCAGTTGCCTCTCGTAGTATTCCAGACCTTGCCTAGCACTTGCACAATTCAGAACATTTTGTTTGGTTGAATCGGTTCGTAGTCAGTAATTACCTAAGGCCCCACATCAGTATGGATACCGACCAAGGTATTTGCTTTGGGTTACACGGTGAGTTGTCTTCAGATAAGTTGCAGATTGTAGAATAATTTATTGCATCAAGATGTTTCATCTGATGTTCATGTTCTCTTTTGACGATCAGGCACTTGACGTTGTGGAGTCCCATCCGCTCAATGATCTTCATCCAACAGCAACCCATACACACCCACCTGCATTGGCAAGCGTAGATCACAATGACTGTTGTTCCTCAGCAATAATCCACATATACCCACCGCAGCCAATCATTCCCTCCAGTGAGGAGTCTCCAATGGAGATGGATAATCCTTGGCAGTCTGAGCGTAGGACCAGAGATGATGGCGAGCAGCGGGTATGAGACATCCAACTTACCTAGAGTCAGCTAATGAAATGTTTAGCCAAATAAAGTCTTCCTCAAAGAAGTTGATCAGTCGTCTAAGCTGCATGAAGATGTGCGTGAGCTACATTTTAGCAACCGCGATCTTTTGCTCTGAAAATGCCATGTGCAGGTACGCATAATCTCACATCCCTCACGTTCATAATTGACTGGCTTCAGATCAGCTCCAACATTCACGAATCAGATACAGTGGCTCAAAAAAGTGTCCAAATGTTTATGCATTTTTGTGTAATTGGATAATAGCAAGCTAGACCCTGAATATAATACAATGGTATATAGACATGTCTGAACGCCATACATCACAGCTTGAATCTGAGATATATGTCGTGGGAATCCGACCATATATGGGCAATATATGGTAATTCTAATCAGATGACTCATTCGGACACTTTTTGACTTTGTATTAAAATCACAAAATCAGACCATTCATATACAATATTCTTAATGAAAGTGGTGCCATAATAATAATATGGTCTGATTTTAATATAATTTGAATATATAAACTCACATAACCTCATGAAATTTAACATAATCATCATGAAGCCCATCTCCTCTGCTCAAAAGGATAATATCCTTGTTCTCTGCTCCTCTGGTTTATCTACTAGGCAGATTGCTTCCAAAACTGGTCTTGGCAAGTCTACTATTGCTACAGTCATAAAGCAGAACATGCCAGAGAAGAAAATCATAAAATGGGATGTCTTCCCAAGCTTACTCCACAGAACAAAAGAGCTATTGTTCATCAAATTCTATCTGGCAAGGCTTCAAATGCTGTTCAAGCCACCAAGTTCATCAATTCCATTATCCCCACTCCCATCTCTACTCAAACAGTCAGAAACACCCTTAAGGCAGCCAATCTTAAGGCTGTAACCAAGAAGAAAAAACCACTTCTCTCAGTAGCTCATAGGAAGAGAAGGCTGGCCTTTGCTTTAAAGCACCAACATTTAACTGTGGAAGACTGGAAGAAGGTGATTTGGTCAGATGGGACTAAAATCAATAGAATGGGGTCAGATGGCCAGGAATATGTGTGGAAAAAGGCAGGAGAACCATTGGGAGAAAGGGAAGTCAAGGATACACTAAAGTTTGGGGGAGGAAATATGATGGTATGGGGTTGTATGGGGTGGAATGGGGTGGGGATTCTTTGTGAGGTAGAGGGAAGGATGAATGCAGAGCAGTACATCTCCATTCTAGAGGAGTGTCTACTCAAAAGCATGCAGGAGTCAGGAATTGATGAAGAGGACATTATCTTCCAACAAGATAATGACCCCAAGCATACCTCAAAGTTGGCCACAAAATGGTTTGAACACCATGGTATCAATGTTCTATTATGGCCAACACAGTCTCCAGACCTCTCAATCCCATTGAGCATCTCTGGGAATTATTCAAAAGACTACTTGCTGCCTATCAGGATCCTCCTAAGGGGCTATTTGAACTATGAGAGAGAGTTGCAATGGAGTAGAACAAGATTATTAAGGAGGAGTGTCAGAAATTGATAGAGAGTATGCCTAGAAGGGTAGCAGCAGTGATTAAAGCTAAGGGGGGTAACTGTCATATACCATATATCCGGTTACAGATCCGATGATCTGGATCTCAGATCCGATCCAGATCCGATGAACATATCCATCGTCCGGTCCACAGATCCGCTTTGATTCTTATTTCATTTCCTGTTCATATAACTCTAACTATCGTTCATCTCCTTTCGGTATTCCTGTACACCGGTATACCGGTTATCCCTTACTTCCGCTTTGCTTACTGATCCGCTACACTTATGAATCCGCTTTTACTTGTACTTCATTCCCGGTTCATGATTCGTGATCCATCCAACTTACCAATATGCTCCACTTAGACTTTGCTTATACTTTTGTATATAGCCTCGCACCTTTGCTTATGGATCATTCCGTTAGCTATCCATAGTATATAAACCTTTGTATATGCGCTGTAGTAGATCAGTTCGAATATCATCTTAGATTGCACTCATTCCGTCTGGACTCTGAGTCCCTCCGTTATCCATCCGGACTTGAGTACGCTACTCTTGTCTACTCCGAGACTTAGGATAGATTCCTATAGTCTACATATCCGCCTCTGTCTTTGGACAGTCCTCACCCGTTAGTTTCTAGTCCGGATCCGATCCGGATTGGCCGTTACTCTATATACGCGATACTTTAGCTCTCTGAAATAAGGGGCAAGACTCGGGAAAGGGGCACAGCGCACGAGCTGAGGCCGAAGCCCTTCGGATCCGATACTACTTGAGTACGGTCTTAACAGTAACACAAAATACTAGAATCATACAATAGTATTGGTGAAATATAAAGTCAAAAAAGTGTCCAAATGAGTCATCTGATTAGAATTACCATATATTGCCCATATATGGTCGGATTCCCACGACATATATCTCAGATTTAAGCTGTGATGTAGGGCTTTCAGACATGTCTATATACCATTGTATTATATTTAGGGTCTAGCTTGCTATTATCCAATTCCACAAAAATGCATAAACATTCAGACACTTTTTTGAGCCACTGTATGCAGTCGGTCATTATACAGTATCAAGAACACAACCAATCTCTTCAGCGCGACAATGTCAATGCCCTCACCTCCTTGGATCAGAACCACTGTCAAGAAGTAGTGGAGCTCCAGGTAGGATACTGTCGCAGTCACATCAACATTCTAATCTGCATTAACAGAACAATATGGCAAAAGCCCAAAATGAGGCTCGCACTGAATTAGGCCAGAAAGAGGCACAATTTGAACATGAGATGCATTTAGCGAAAGATAGATTTTTGACCAACAAAGAAGCTGAATTGATCCGCTTGAATGCCAGGTATAGTTCCAAGATTGATTCATTGAATGTATGTATCAAATGAATTCCTGGTGCGCAGGGTTCTAACAATTTCACAGAGCCAAATTCGACATGCCAACACTCCATCACCTACATCCGCACCTGCCTGGCGGCACCTCGTGGGCAAAAACCTGTTGCCACATGTACCGACATCATTGGGTTTGCACCTGTAAGTCCATGACTCTCACATGTCCATTGTCTACTGACACCGCACATCATAGATTCCTGATGTCAGCTCAGAATCTGACGCAGACGAGGAACCTCAGACGACTGGTAATGGACCACCCCTGACATCACTCCTAGGAGACATGCTGATTGCACACGCGACTGTTGGCATGCTTGCTGAGGCACTCGCAAAGGTTCTTCAGATTCCGCAAACAACATCTCCCCAAGGACCTCGCTCAGGATGCAAACCGCTTAAACCTCCTGTCGAAAATTTTACTAATAACCAGCGCTGAGATAACAAGGTCTGTAACCATTTAAAGCACATGACTCTGCTCATAGAAACGTCAGGCAAATATTCGGGAGTTGTTCAAAACCACATTCCACGCCACAAAAGATGAAGAGTATATGCTTCATGTCCCAGCGTTGCACAAAGCTATATTGTCTTTTGCAGCTGAAACGGGCCCAGACCCTAACCCGCTGTCTTCTTACTTGAGGGTCTTATATATTGATCAGAATACAATGACTATCACAATTGTACTCTTTAAGACTAAGGTGCCAGCTCCTCAAGTTCACGGTCAATGGATGTTCTACTTCTCGGTTGATAACATGGTGTTTGTGGGTGGCCAAAGGGTAATAAATTACTTCTTTGCTAGATCACTTCTTGATAGTAAAGGAGTAGTATATATTTTGTCAGGTTAACTTAAACCTAGTAGGTAATATGAACCTCTCTGAACTGATTGTGACATGAATACATAAAATGATAGATTAAACAATAGATTATTGTATAGGCGATCCCTGTAAGATAGTATACAATCAATCTAGACTGGTGAATACGATTGTTTTCAAAGGCAACTCATAGGCCTTCACTTTCTTCATGATCTCACAGTGTTGAGACAGAAAGTGGGAAAACTCCTGACTTCAAATTCCTATGTTCCCACATGGTTTGGGAAAAGAATGGAAGGGGAAAAACTTAATATATTATGTGAGAATGGAGTCCTTATATACATTTTAGAAACCATCCTTACTAAGCAATGAGTCATCACTGGATTGGTAAGATTATGCTTACAAACCAAGCCTTTTGGTGTGCTGAATCAGCTGCTTACTAAAGTACATGAGTAAAATATTACAAAGCATGATGAATCATGACAAAACATGATGAGTCATGGAAAGTCCTTACAAATCAGAATATTACCAGTCACATGACATGCTTACAAACATATCTGAATGGCTCACTGATGTAATCAAGTGGCTGAATAAACATAAACAAATAATGGAAAGAGACAGAAACTAATGGAAACTACAAATACAACTAAACAAATAGAAACAAAGCTTATGTAAGTAGGAAGTATATCCTTTGTACACTCCTCTACTCATCTCCTTTACACTGCTATTCATATATGTCATGGTATGAACTCCATACCATGCATGACACCGCTTGCACTGCAATGGGATATGGCAACCACACACAAGTCCGAATGGAACCAAAAAGTCATTGATTTCCTCTGTTCCCAGTACGTGACTTTGCAAGAGAGCAATGGATGGGCTGGACGATCTACTGAATCAATCAGATGATATCGAACTGAAATTCGGTCAATGCCGCAAGTGTTGGAGGAAAGCTCAGCCTCTCAGCCTCGGTGATGGTACTCACAAGACCATGCAACAAGTGGGAGATCGACTCGTGGATCAGACGAATGAGCGACTGCGGCTCGCTAGGGTTCTCACTTGCAGGATGACAGTCAGTTGACTTGTTTCTTTCAGAGCAGAATAATATTGAGCTAGTCACTAGAAGTTTGAAACTCACAAAAAGTCACATTGACGCTACTCAGTGATAGGAATGCCACAGGAAAAGATGATCAGATTGTGTGGGTGTATCTACAATCCATGATGGAGAATCTTGGAAAAGATGGCATGAGCTCTGATGAGAGTGAGTATGGAGATGGCGATGTTCAGGTCTTTTGTCGGGAAGAGCATGCCATGGAGAGCAGATTTCAGTCACGAGATGCAGATTATTGACCAGCAGCATTTGATGGGTGCCACAATTTTCACTCCTCGTGGAAGCAAGCCTGCCAAGCATTTTTGTAATGCTAACCGGGATTCTTCTCGCACTGCAGTTGAGGGCCTGCCAAAAGCATTCTATGATCCTACCTGGTTGACTGAACAGCATTCGTCATTCATGGTATCTAAAAAGAAGTTTCAGAGAATGGAGATTATTGTTGCCTGCCAGTAAATCAGATAACTGGGGTGACATTTGTACAATGTGTATGTACCAGTATTAGTGACAAGTTGTCTGGTGATGTCTACTGAACTGCAGGTGATTTCCTTTCAGGTCAATATTGTACTAGCGAAAGTATGGGCAGACCAACAATTATAAACACGGATGGCTTGATCTACCAGACACACTCTCAGGGAGTCCGTCATGTAAGTGGTCACCAACATTGATTCTTCGTACTGACTAATGATTCCACAGTTGGCACTGGTGTAAATTCGATTTTCATAGTACAACATTCTTTATGCATTTCAGCAGGCTAACCTGATGATGCACTCGACCTACGGATTACTTTCCATGGTTCTGGAACTGCTCTGAACGAAGTGTGCCAAGAACTGTTCCAAGTGAAAATAATCCACGTTTCATACCATCAAAAATGTATCGTGCTGCAGGTGGGATAACATCATTTGATGGAATCTTCTGATGACTTTCATTGTTAGATATTACTGGGACACCAAATGACCATCTTACGTGTCCATCGTTGTTTTTTTTGGAGTTCTCAGCTTTTGTGCTGCGCACAACATCATCCACCTCTATGCTCAATACTGCTCCCTCAAGTGCTACATAGATCCTCTCACATAAGAGGTCAGTAGTAGGATGGTCCCCTTCGCAATTATGATCGATACACCTGTTTACCACCTTCTCTAGGCTCTGAACAAGTTTTCTTTGATTTGGAGACAGGCGCCCCATATGGGGCCTGACGTGGTTGGCACCAGGGGCCATGAAGTTTGCCGCCAGCAATGTGCTTCTCATCTTTGAAAACTGTAAGGTCAGTCGTGGAGCCCGGCTATGTAATAATATTTATGAACCTCATCATTTGCCAGATCAATGTTCTGAATTGGAACATCTTGTTGACTGCCAATTATCCCATCAAGTGCATGGGGTTCATTGATTAACATAGCGGATCCCATCCGCACAAGCTTTGAATGGTTGGTTCAGTTGTTGCTGGCCACGGCCATGACATCTTTACTTACAGCAGTATTCAGCACCACCTTGTCGATATACAAGGCATATGTCCTTGTTATAGGTGTGGTGATGGGTGCAATACTTTCATTGCTTGAAGTGTAGGGTCGAGCATATGGGTTATAGCGTATGCCATGGGCTGCAGTCGTTTTGTGGCGAGGTAATGTGCACAGCATGAGTGAGTTGCAATTCTGCTTAGCTCCAACCTGTATTTAAATAAACCCGCAAGGTCATTGTAGTACTTACAACTACCGTAACTTCTCAATGGTATTGCGCCTAGACTTCATCCTAGGCTGCATTCAGTATTTTATCTCCCAGTTACCCATACTTGCTTCAGTGAGTGCCACTGTATCCCCCGGACATATCAGACAAACAATAAGTTCTCCTCATCCAGAACAAACAATAAGTTCCCATCTCCAGAACAACTTCATGCGACTTAAAACAAGTAAATATCATCAAGATCATGTTCAATTGTATATCCCACCTTTGTGATGGGAAACTCGACAAGTCGTCTCTCTGGTCCAAAAGTGCTTTTCATGATGTGCGCCCCATATATTTTACCTCTATTCTTTGTGACTTAGATTCTTTGAATTCTTGCAGCAGTCGCAGGACTTCATTTCAAAGACTGACTTCCCTGGGAGTCTAGGACCTTCGAAGGTGAGATCCTTCATATGTACATCAGGCTTGATTTAACACCTATTGCTACAGAACATCAGCGCACTGGAAAGCAGTGCACCATCCCTGAAGCAGAAAATCAACTTTGGTGATTCGATCACCCCTCGAAAGCAACATATTCTGGAATCGTACTCCACAGGTGACATATATCAAGTTATTGTGGTATATTCCAATGCTACGGTATGTTCCAATTTCAAATATTTGCTTCAGCATTGATGAAGCTGTAGGTAAAGCTAAGCCGCCACCACACGGACTTAACCAGCTTGATGATGAAGCATTTGTTCAGGGAGGCAGTATGGAATCACTTCTATATATAATTATCTTAACTGATTTCAGACTTTAGTCTGACGTTTTCTTGAAGCGCAAAGTGGATGCTCAACTAGGTCCCTTTGTGATCAAGCGTGTAACACTTTATGAGCTGTACAACTCCAAGATGTTCATTTGGTCCCTACCTGTGGAAATCCCCATCGCTACTGTCGCCCATCTAGGAGCGCAAGATCTGCACTCAGTCATGCAAGTTTCTTCTCTGCTAAGAGAAATCGCTGTGCCGCTCTTCTTCCTCGACAGAAACTTCCTGACTTCCCCGCAGGACCTGTTCCACATTCGTGTAGACTCGCCAAATTTTGATGTTTTGTCTACTTGGAGACAAATGGACACTTTTCGTCCACCGCATATGGTGTTGAGTTGGCTGGATTCTGATTTGCGATCCTCACAGCTATCCGCATTTTTGCACTTCCTTGAGTCCATTCCCCACAAATTGATACGATACATCACACTTTTCTGGAATTTCAACATTCACATTCTCACTTCCTCGATTCTCTCTCAAATTGTTAGATTACTGGAAAAGATCTGTGCCTCCGGTGTTGAAGAACTGACATGCATGGGTTTCTGCGATGGTGCTGTCTCACCCTCCGTCACTGGCCTCGCCCAAATCCAGGTGTGTGTAGGTCCGAACACCCTGAAAGCCTTTGAGGCATCTTCGTGGACATTTTTTTTCCCAAAAGCTTCTTCCTTTCACAATTCAGACCATCCGCTGAGGCGATCTCAACCTGGCTGGGCTGATATGAAATATCTAAAATGCTCAACCAGTATAAGTGAGTCTTGGCTCTGCCTAGCTGCTATACTCGCAGAATGCAAGAACATTTGACCCTAAAGGGGACTGCTACTGAACACAGAACCAGATGAATGAAAGACCCTTGTAGTGTGATGGATGCGTGAAAGCGTGAGAAGAAAAGCGAAGTGAGCACGAAGCGTGAGAGAGCTGTCATATACCATATATCCGGTTACAGATCCGATGATCTGGATCTCAGATCCGATCCAGATCCGATGAACATATCCGTCGTCCGGTCCACAGATCCGCTTTGATTCTTATTTCATTTCCTGTTCATATAACTCTAACTATCGTTCATCTCCTTTCGGTATTCCTGTACACCGGTATACCGGTTATCCTTTACTTCCGCTATGCTTACTGATCCGCTATGCTTACTGATCTGCTACACTTACGAATCCGCTTTTACTTGTACTTCATTCCCGGTTCATGATTCGTGATCCATCCAACTTACCAATACACTCCACTTAGACTTTGCTTATTGATCATTCCGTTAGCTATCCGTAGTATATAAACCTTTGTATATGCGCTGTAGTAGATCAGTTCGAATATCATCTTAGATTGCACTCATTCCGTCTGGACTCTGAGTCCCTCCGTTATCCATCCGGACTTGAGTACGCTACTCTTGTCTACTCCGAGACTTAGGATAGATTCCTATAAGTCTACATATCCGCCTCTGTCTTCGGACAGTCCTCACCCGTTAGTTTCTAGTCCGGATCTGATCCGGATTGGCCGTTACTCTATACGTTCGATATCCGGAAGTCTTAACGGATCCATTGCAATACTTATCCGTTTCACTAGACGCGATACTTTAGCTCTCTGAAATAAGGGGCAAGACTCGGGAAAGGGGCACAGCGCACGAGCTGAGGCCGAAGCCCTTCGGATCCGATACTACTTGAGTACGGTCTTAACAGTATATTCGAACTCATACCTTTCCGAGTTACTTAACATCTATCATGCCTCCTACCAAGACACAAACAACTCTGCATGCGGTCGGACTAACCTCCCTCCGTCGTGATCCGACACCTATAGTCAACACCTTCACCAGTTTCTCTCAGCGCCGTGTTAGCGCCCACGGAACCGCTCAAACCATATCCGAACTCCTTAATCGTCGACACCCGGAAACCCCAACACGCACTCCTGCCGTAGGACCTCCGGACGATGATGATCCCGATGATGGTGATGATGATTTCCCTGGTAATCCACCCGATGATAACGGTGGTGATCCGGATGATGATCCGGATGTTGAGGATGATGAAAATGACGGTCTAAACCCACAAGACCGCGTTATGCTTCGACTCTCAGAAGCCATCGATAACCTTGCTCGCAATAATCGTCGCGCGCCTGCATCCGAAGATTCTAGAGTCAAGGTCCGAGAACCGGATACCTTCGACGGATCCGAACCACGGAAGCTCCGTGCGTTCTTTGTCCAGTGTGAGCTTAACTTCCAGAGCAAGCCTAAGGCTTTCCGTACCGGAAGGGCTAAAGTCAACTTCGCCCAATCCTACCTTAAGGGTATGGCCCTTGAATGGTTTGAACCGGATCTCCTGTCCGATGATTTGGACGACCATCCGGATTGGATGGATGACTATTCCGTGTTCATGCTTGAACTCCAAGCCAACTTCGGGCCTCATGACCCATCCGGTGATGCAGAAATGCAGCTCGAACAGCTCCACATGCGCGATGGACAGCGCATCAACAAGTACGTTGTGGAATTCCAGCGTCTTGCTTCACAGGTTCGTGGCTGGGGCGACGGAGCCTTACGACGCCAATTCTACAACGGACTCCCGGCCCGTATCAAGGATGAAATCAGTCGCATGGGTAAACCCTCTACTCTTTCCGAATACAAAGTCCTCGCTCAGACTATCGACGCCCGATACTGGGAACGGAAGGGAGAGATCTCTCGAGAAGCTAAACCCACTTCATCCACTACCCCTAAGCAATCCACTTCTGACCGGACGAACTCCAATACGTCCGGATCCGGAAATCACAAATCCGGAAACTTCCCATGATCAGAAGTCTACAAAGCCATCCGCGTCCTCGAACTCGTCCGCTCCTAAGGTTCCAGATCTTACTTCCAAGCTGGGTAAGGACGGAAAGTTAACGTCCGAAGAGCGGCAGAGAAGGAATGGACAAGAAACTCTGCTTATTCTGTGGTGGACCCGGTCATACTGCTCGGGAATGCACCAAGTCTACTTCGCGTGCTGCCAAAGGCCGCGCTGCAGTAGTCGCTCCGGAAGTCAAACCGGATGTCTCTACTGAGACAAAAAAATAGTCCGCGACTCTCCTAGCTCCGTGCAGGAAGAGGGTCGCGTTGACTCTGCCTGCACAAAGGAGTTAAGACTCAACGCTGTCGCGCTCTCGGATCCGACTTCCCTCTGTCCATATGTTTCACTTCCGTTACTTCCATCCGTATCCGAATTTCCAGCTCTTGTAGATTGTGGTTCTTCTCATTGTTTCATAGATACTGCGTTCATCCGAAAACACAAAATCCCTACATATCCGATACCTACGATTCCGCTCCGCTTGTTTGATGGTACTTGTAATAATACTATTTCCGAAGCTATAGATTTGTCCGTCCGCTTTCCGTCCGGTGTAGTCACCTCTGATACGTTCTACGTTACCCCTTTGGATTCATCTTGTTTTATCGTTCTTGGATATAGCTGGCTCACCCGACACAATCCGTTGATTGACTGGGTTTTGGGCAGCATCGAATTCCGGACGACATCTCATGGAATGCCATCGACCCCTCCGACGTCACTTCCGTCCTCGGATATCCCTCCTCCGACGGAAACCATACCTCCTCCGACTACATCCGTACCCTCCGCTGATAACACTGTTCCTAATATATCCCTAATCAATGCAGTTGCCTTTTGCCGGGCCTGCAAGTTAGAAGGATCGGTCCAGTTCAGTATATACCTTCGACCATTCGGTGTCGATCTCCGATCCGCTTCTCTATCGTCCGATCCTCCGGATCTATCCCAAATTCCTTCGGACTATCACGAGTTTGCGGATGTCTTCGACAAGGGAAAGGCTGGTCAGCTTCCTCCACATCGTCCTTATGATCTGAACATAGATCTGGAAGAAGGAACTAGTCCTCCCCTCGGAACTATCTATTCTCTATCCCCGGTCGAGCTTGCAGCCCTCCGGAAGTTTCTTGATGAAAATATTGCCTCTGGACTCCTCCGCTCCTCATCCTCTCCTCACGGAGCTCCGGTCCTATTTGTCAAGAAAAAGGACGGATCCCTCCGCCTTTGTGTGGATTTCCGTGGACTCAACCAGATCACTAAGAAAGACCGATATCCATTACCCCTCATTGCCGACCTATTAGACTCTCCGAGCCGTGCTAAAGTTTATACCAAAATCGACCTCCGATCCGCTTATCATCTTGTCCGGATAGCGGAAGGGGACGAATGGAAGACTGCCTTCCGAACGCGCTATGGCTCCTATGAATGGTTGGTGATGCCGGAAGGTCTCACTAACGCTCCAGCAGCATTCCAGCGCTTTGTCAATAGCGTGTTTGCTGATATGCTGGATGTATGTGTTATCGTATATCTGGACGACATCCTCATCTATTCCCATGACCTTGCGTCCCACAAGCAACACGTCCGAGAAGTACTCCGTCGACTCCTGTAAACATCGTCTCTATGCCAAACCCGAAAAATGCGAATTCCATTCCACCTCCGTTGAATATCTCGGATATCTCCTATCTCCGGACGGCTTAACTATGTCGTCCGATAAGATCCAAGCTATTACTGACTGGCCGGAACCTCGGAAAGTCAAGGATATCCAATCCTTCCTCGGATTCGCAAATTTCTATAGACGGTTTATATTCAACTACTCGGATATCGTGGTTCCGTTAACACGGCTTACACGCAAGGATGCTCCGTGGAACTTTTCCGATGAATGTCGGAAATCCTTCGAAGAACTCAAGAAAGCCTTCACTACGGCTCCGGTGCTTACGCACTGGATGCCGGATGTTCCTATAGTTGTGGAAACCGATGCCTCTGACTACGCTATAGCTGGAATACTATCCATAGTATGTCCGGACTCAGAGCTTCGTCCGGTAGCGTTCTACTCTCGAACGCTAACCGCTCCGGAACTTAACTATGACACCCACGATAAGGAACTTCTAGCTATATACGAAGCTTTCCGGACCTGGCGACATTATCTAGAAGGCTCGGCCGAGCCTGTAGATGTTGTCACGGACCACAAGAACCTTGAGTACTTCGCCACTACCAAACTCCTCTCTCGCCGTCAGGCCCGCTGGTCGGAATTCCTCCATCAGTTCAATCTTGTCATCCGCTTCCGTCCCGGAAAACTCGGAGTTAAACCGGATTCCCTTACTAGACGCTGGGACGTCTATCCCAAAGAGGGGGATAAGGACTACGCTCGAGTTAACCCTCATAACTTCCGTCCGGTATTCACGTCCGAACAGTTAGCTTCGTCCCTACGAGCCTCAACCTTAGCAACTCCGGTTCTTAGAGCAGCTGTTCTAATGGATATTGATGACCTTCGGAAAGACATCCTGACCGCACTTCCTAATGACCCTATTGCAACCAACCATCTTCCGGTACCTTCAGATCCGAGATGGACAGTGGACGATAGGGGTTTCCTCCGTTGCGACAACCGTATATATGTCCCAGAATCCGATAACCTTCGACTTCGCGTCCTCCGTAATACTCATGATCACCCCTTATCCGGACATTTTGGTCAAAACCGAACCCTAGACCTCATCCGACGCGAGTATACATGGCCGGGTATACGCACCTATGTTAAGGACTACGTCCGGTCCTGCACTACCTGCGCCCGAGCCAAGGTTCCGAGACATAAACCCTACTGGATTGCTCAAGCAACTACCCATACCGGAAAAGCCTTGGAATTCCATATCCATGGATTTCATAGAGCAACTTCCGGACTCATCAGGCTTTACAGCCATCCTCGTTATCATAGATCGTTTATCCAAACAAGCAATATTTGTTCCGACTCACGATACCATTACCTCTCCGGATCTCGCTCGTCTATTCCTACTTCATGTGTTTTCCAAGCACGGAGTTCCGTCCCATGTCACCTCGGATCGCGGTACAGAGTTTGTATCCCACTTCTTCCGATCCTTAGGAAAAGCATTGGATATGGTCCTCCACTTCACATCCGGATATCATCCGGAAGGGGATGGACAAACCGAGCGTGCCAACCAAACCCTGGAACAATACCTTCGGATATATTGCAATTATCAACAGGACAACTGGTCGGAACTACTTCCCTTAGCAGAATTTGCCTACAATAACGCTCCAAGTGCTACTACCGGAGTATCGCCTTTCTTTGCTAATAAGGGTTATCATCCGAACATATCCGTCCATCCGGAACGCGATCTATCCTCCATCCGCGCTCGCGACTATGCTATAGACCTCGACGACCTTCACCAATTCCTTAGAGAAGAAATGGCTCACGCCCAAGAAAGATATCAAGGACCTGCGGACGCTAAACGGAAACCTGCTCCGGATATCAATATCGGAGACCAAGTCTTTGTCAAGGCTAAGTACTTCCGGTCCACTCGTCCGTCTAAGAAACTCTCGGAAAAGAATCTAGGTCCGTTTGAAGTCATATCCCGTCCGGGTACCCATTCCTTTACCATCCGACTTCCCGAATCCATGAAATCCGTCCACCCCGTCTTCCATGTCTCACAGCTAGAACCATCCGTTCCGAACACAATTCCCAATCGGATCCAGCCTCCTCCACCTCCGGTCGAAGTCGACGGAGAACCAGAATATGAGATATCCGAAATCCTAGACTCTAAGCTGGACCGTCGTAGAAGACAATGCCAACTCTTATACCTCGTCCGATGGTCCGGATACGAAGGAACAGACGAAGAGACTTCATGGCTACTAGCCACGGAACTCGGAAACGCGTCCGATCTAGTCTCGGATTTCCACACTGCATATCCAGACAAACCCGGTCCTATTGCTATACAATGAATATACAAAGCGGATATACAAGTACATTAGTAGCAGAGAAGGCAGATCCGAAAATCCTCAGCCATCCATCTCCATGTCCCCACCCGATCCGGATCCGGATCCGGATTCATCAACGTCCTTGTCAGTGGCCTCAGAACGAGCCGCCTCTGTAATCCGGATTCCATTCCGGATCCCCTCAAGAAGGATGGTCTGGAACTCCCTCTGCTGCTCCAAAAACGCCTCCAAGTTAGTATTCATCCGCTCTATAGCAGTCCTACTCCCTTCCGCCGCTCCGATGCTCTGCTGGAGCAATCCGTTGGTCCGAGCCAGTTCCGCTACAATGCTATTAGCGGCCGCGACCCAGGCCTGATCATCATACTCCACTTCCACCTCATCCGCTACTACCGTCTTCATATCCGGATCCGGAGTCGGACTCTGCTGGCGCTTCTTACCCTTGCCTCTCGGAGATGGGTTCTCAGCAGCGCGCTGCCTCTTCTTAGACTTGGAATCCGTAACGGTTCCAGGTCGTCCGGGACAAGGAGCCTTGTCCTTCCGGCACGCGTTACAAGCCTTGATCTATCCGAATGTTAAGAGTCACGGATCCGAAGATTCAAGGATGACTTACCAAGGAATTGCTATCCGCATCGGACCACAGACAGGCCCGACCCTTCTTAGCGCAGCGGGTACAAGCCCCATCCTTATCCGCTGAGATGGCGCGAGACTACGGATCCGATAAGGGACGGATCCGATAGAACAAGTCATAACTCACCATTTCCGCCTACTATAGCCCTGCGCCTAGCCTCCTCCGCTTCCCTTCGGGCCTCAGCCCGTTCAATCTTCTTAATCCCTGCCAAGCGCTTCCAGTTCCGCCTCTTCCGCTTGTTGCTTCAGCTTTTCAGCCTCTTCCTCCTTCCTGAACCTCGGCCTCAGCAGCAGCCAGCGCGGCCTGGATATCCGCCAGAGTCTGCTTAGCGGTCTTCTTAGAGCCGGATCCGTTATCAGTCATGGTTGAGATAAGCTAGTGGTAGTGAAAAAGTAGGGAAAGGAAGGAACACCCTGCGACGCTTTGGCATCCGTATATCTGTCAGAATCCGAACTCAGCAACTTCTCCCATCAGCTTCTCCATTGTCTCGCACTCATACCATCCGTTCCGGATCGCTGATTCTTGTGCCTCTAGGGATCGGCCCTAAGGGGGGGATACTGTCATATACCATATATCCGGTTACAGATCCGATGATCTGGATCTCAGATCCGATCCAGATCCGATGAACATATCCATCGTCCGGTCCACAGATCCGCTTTGATTCTTATTTCATTTCCTGTTCATATAACTCTAACTATCGTTCATCTCCTTTCGGTATTCCTGTACACCGGTATACCGGTTATCCTTTACTTCCGCTTTGCTTACTGATCCGCTATGCTTACTGATCCGCTATGCTTACTGATCCGCTACACTTACGAATCCGCTTTTACTTGTACTTCATTCCTGGTTCATGATTCGTGATCCATCCAACTTACCAATACGCTCCACTTAGACTTTGCTTATACTTTCGTACATAGCCTCGCACCTTTGCTTATTGATCATTCCATTAGCTATCCGTAGTATATAAACCTTTGTATATGCGCTATAGTAGATCAGTTCGAATATCATCTTAGATTGCACTCATTCCGTCTGGGCTCTGAGTCCCTCCGTTATCCATCCGGACTTGAGTACGCTACTCTTGTCTACTCCGAGACTTAGGATAGATTCCTATAGTCTACATATCCGCCTCTGTCTTCGGACAGTCCTCACCCGTTAGTTTCTAGTCTGGATCTGATCCGGATTGGCCGTTACTCTATACGTTCGATATCCGGAAGTCTTAACGGATCCATTGCAATACTTATCCGTTTCACTAGACGCGATACTTTAGCTCTCTGAAATAAGGGGCAAGACTCGGGAAAGGGGCACAGCGCACGAGCTGAGGCCGAAGCCCTTCGGATCTGATACTACTTGAGTACGGTCTTAACAGCCTCAATATATGTATATAGGTAGCTCATTGTAGTCAGTAGTTCTTTAGTTCAAACCTCTTTTGTATTAGCTTACTGCTAGCAATCCTAAGACGTACCTGCTATCCTTTATCTTCTTGTCGTGATACCTTTGTTTGAGTCCTAGTCTCTGCCCCTGCGTTAATTCGTTATAAGGGTTGTGACAGCATGTGGAGGCCTGTGATAAAACTAAACAGAAATGCACAGCTGGTGTAGGTCTCGTTTTTGTAATTAGTGGTTAGCCATTCTCACTCATTCATCAGGACTATCCACTTTTATCTTGGATGGGTCATCGAGATATGTTCTTAGTCGAATTCCTTCGGCATGAAGGCAGAGGTGATTATGCTGGTGCCACCGTCTGCTTTAACTGCCATCTTGATGTCCCTCAATTTCGGTGTATTGATTGCTTGGGTACAGAGCTGTACTGTAAGGGTTGCATTGTCAACTTACACACTCGGAATCCAGTGCATCGCATTCAGGTGAGTCTGTTCGCACAATATTGTGATTGGACACTTGTATTTAATTTCATGTTAGGAGTGGTCAAACTCTTGTTTTACGACGGTGTCGCTGAAGGACCTAGGCCTACACGTGCAGCTTGGCCATTTTACTGGAGATTCTTGTTCATTACCTGAGAAAGCATTCAATGATGATTTCACCCTGATCGATACTAACGGTATTCACACCATTGGACTGGATTTTTGTGGGTGCAAAACCACTCAAACAAGGACCAAGCAATTACTACGTGCAGCCTGGTTTCCAGCTACAACTGTTGATCCACGTAGTGCGGCGACCTTCCGCATCCTCGAGCAGTATCATCTTCTGTCATTTGAGTCAAAGGCTTCTGGGTATGAATTCTATCACTCGATTGTGTGCCTGACCGATAATACTGGACTTCGTCCTCAAAAGGTGAGTGATTGATGTCCTGCCTTATTGTTGTCTCATTACCTATGTCGTCAGGATCGTTATGAGCCATTCTTGCGGATGGTCCGTGAATGGTGTCACCTCAAGATGCTCAAGCGAGCAGGCCAAGGACACGATCCAGCTGGTGTGGCAAATATGCAAAGCGGCCAATGCACTGTTCTGTGTCCTGCATGCCCTCAGCCTCTTAAAAACCTTCCAGACAACTGGAAAGATGTTCCGAATGACAAGAAGTATGTGTCTTGTCCGTACAAGATTAAATGCTCACACTGAACAATCCTGCAGATGGTTATATGCCCTCTTCGTAGCCATTGATGCAAACTTCCGTCTCAAAAGACGTATTGTGTCTAAGGATGCTACAGACCCTGGGCTTAGTCGTGGTTGGGCGTACTTCATAGACGAGACAGCATACAAGGCGTATTTACAAGATCATGGTAATAGGCCACAAGAGGTAACAATTCGATTGAATGACTTGTTGTGATTCACTCTGACGGTTTTAGTAGAAAAGCACCTGTGCGTCACATAATGCAGTCAACATGGCCGACACAAAAGCTTCTCAGGGTCTGGCTGCAACTGGAGTGGGGATGATAGATTGCGCGCGGCACAATATGAAGTTGCCCAATGGTGTCGGAGACTTGCAGAAAGGTGAAAGGTGAGGTATACCAGCTGGCAAGCAACCATCGGCACTGACTATACATAGATATAGCAATATGGATTATCTGTTTTTTTCGACCCTCCGCGGGCGCTGTGTCGAAACGCTCAACGTTTCATATGATATCGCTTGCCAGTGGCATAAGAACCTTTGGGAATGCATGTCCACAATGCCTCTAGACCTCCATCTGGACCCTCTCACCAAGTTCATTAGGTTTTTACAATCAAATATCCAGTTTCTCGTGCCTTTGCTCACATACTAATCACTAGATTTTTCGTCCCGAAATTTCATCTACCTGCGCACATTTTCAAATGTCAAACTACATATTCATTCAACTTCTCAAAGAACATCGGACGAACAGATGGTGAAGCCCCAGAACGTGGCTGGTCAAATATTAACCCTGTCGCCTCTAGCACAAAGGAAATGGGCCAGGGTCTCGACGGGATACTCTAGATGATCATTTCGGTGATTGGAACTGGAAAAAGATAGTTGGACTTGGTGCGTGACATGTGAATGACTTCATCTTTTCATTGGCTCATCCTTTCACAGGCGCAACATTACTCCAAAAGATGGGCGAGGCTCAAGAGGAGAAAGAAGCTCATATAATGGCTTTCGAGGAGCTAGATGGTGCTTTGCAACCTGGGACATCAGATCCCTGGAAATCTGAAATTGAGTATTGGGAACACAACCCCAACGACTCTTCGGTTACTAACCCATTCAAGAAGAAGGTCACTCGTAAGTGGCACTGGACATTTATATTCCTCATCCAATCGCTGAGATGTAGATGAATAGCTATTACCCAAGCTGCTGTTCGACTGAAACTTGCTGAAATAGAGGCTCGTGATCTACAGCAAGGTGTCGACACATCTCTCCACCCTGAAATCTCACCCAGCGTGTTTATTGCATCTGGCATTGATCTTAAAACTGAACAGTACGTAGTTTATTTGTTATGATCTGCGTGCCTCACTTATTCGTTCAAAGGTGTCGTTTGCAGGCAGATATCACCCAGCTTGGTTTGCATCCCACAGATACACAGAAGGCTACCGTTCAATGCCAGCAGAACTCTCTGCAGCGCAAGATTGATGTGTGGAGGCGCGTCCAGGCCCTCTATACCCCTGCAGTCCAACTACTATACTCGTATCCACTCCAATCTTCCCTGGACCCCATCACACCAGAAGACACAAAACTCTACTTGCCATCGACTATGTGCACCAGATTTATGCATTGCGATACTCGCCTTCAGACCGCCGAATGGGAACTCCGTTTTGCTCAGGCTGGGGATGCACTGGAGGAGCTAAGGCAGAACCTCCGCCTACGTGACTATATGTACACATTTAAAAGAGATTGGGTGCGTGGTCAGAGCGCAAACACTCGAGCTCAAAATGCTCTCACTCAAGTAGTTTTGAAGGCATCAGCTGCAGCTGACAAGTATCGTGCTGCTCATGGAGCACTTTCTGCCCTCGCTCCCTTGCTCCAAATGGTCGGCTGGAAACTCAAGTATAAGGAACTCAACAAGAAGGATGATGTACATGGGATGTCAGCACCCACAAAAGGTGTAAGTGAAGGGAGAAGGCAATTATTGTGGATTTGGTTAGTAGAAGGAGTCGGGGATGATCAGGATGAGGTAATACAAGATAGTAAGTTTGCATTCGAGCCTCGAACAAACCATGGCACACATACTGATGGAGTTTTCAGGTCTTAGAGTCGAGTGTTGTAAGGCTCGGGTGCAATCTATGCGATGGGCAGAAGAAGTCAAATTGCTTCATGAGGAGATGCGAAGGGTTCTTCAATTCCTTAGGTGGCATGCAGCTTGGTGGCACGAGAAAGGCTGTGAACCCACACCTGATGCTACTGCCGAGAACAAGGGTCTGCTTGCCTATGCGTGTCGCCAGGCTCAACTTAGACACGATCTCGCTGACCATTTTGAGAAGATGTGGATGGCGCATGTTTCAACAACTACAGGTAGTGGGAGCACAGTTGGGAATGATAAATGAAGAGCTTTGTGTAGTACTAGTAGCAGATAACACATCCACCACACAGAAATCCCGTTCATCCAAATGAAATTATCGGACTTGGTTGCGCACCATAGAAGGCCATGAGAGGAACTTGTAGTTTGAGCCAAGGGAGATGCAAGCACTGTTCACGCTCTCGTGCAAGGCAAACAAACACGGTGACTGTTGGTGAGCATTTGAACAGAGGTGGTAAGACAAGCTTAGTAAGCAGCAAAGCCTAGAGTAGAGTTCAACAGTGCTCTGCAAGGCAAACGAACACGGAGTACTTTGTGACAGAAGCGGTGAACAGAAGCGGTGAACAGTAGCAGGCCGCTGAAAGAACTCAGCAGCACATCTTGTAAGTATCATGAACTAATGCATTTTCATTTGACTTATAATTACACTGGTTAATGCACTACGTGCATCTTGTAACTACCAGGTATAATGCATTACTCCCCCAGGATGTTGTGAATGAACTGGGTATATTTCGGGGGTGGACAGTTGTTAAAATTAAGCACACGCTGGTGCAAGGACTCTGGCACAAAAACGGTGACGTTATTATGAGTGATCTGAGGAAACAATAGTACTTAGCAAAAAAGTAAACCCGATAATTACAGGAGACAAGTTACAACAGAGAGGGACAGAGACAACGAGGAAGATGGGGAGATGACCAGAAGAGGGGGAGAACCTTGTCAGAAAAGGAAATCATTTCAGAGGTTGTATGATGCGCATGCAGTCGCGTGATCAGTCCTTCTTCCACGTTCCTTCCCACGCGTTCGTTACATCACTCGGTCGACAGAACCATGAGCTCATGATTTCATTAGGGGAACTCACACCTGGGAGCTTATGGTTTATGCTTATCCGTGCTCATGCTTACACCCCCCAATACTATCTGATTTGTATATGGGTATAAACAAACCAAAATACATTACATGCGCTGCCACGTCCAGTATAGTCGGTGAGCGCTGTGACCGCCAATGTCGAGCATTCTGCCAGTGGATTATTGATCGTTTGAGTCTCATTAGCATCATGAGAAAGACAGACCCTCCACCCCCTCCTATTCCCGATGTCCACTGGTCCGTGGATATGACATGGATTTTGCTGTCAGAGGTCGAGAAAGATGAGAACAGGCTTGTTTTACTGGGGAAGCGGGATAAGAAGGAAGTAATATTCACTTTTGGATCTGTGTTCATTTGCTGATCATGCCATTAAATACATCTGGTGATAGCAAGATTACTGTGTTTCAATGTATTGGATCTGTCATGCTGCAAGACAGCTACAAGCTCAACCCAACAGCAACAGGCAAAGCAGTCAAGCACAAGTATGATCAGTATGTTGCTTTTTCCGAGTCTTGAATGATGTACTCACACAGTGCAGCCTAGTACGGAAGTATCAACAGCATGCTAAACGACTGCGAACCACTGGCGAGGGCATTCAGAACTCTGATGCAGATGGCAACAATTCTGACAATGAGTTTTTTGAATGTTATGTTCCTGCTGACGGTCCAAATTCAACGACCACTGCAGATGCACAAAGTATCTGGGGTATACATTCTTTCATAGTGTTACTGTATCTTTGAATTGATTCCTCGAGTAGATGAAATTGTCCAGAAATTCCCGTTCTTTCCCGTCCTTCACCGCATCCTCCTGTCCCGGCCAAATGTGACTCCCATTGCTGTCATCACAGGCGTTGGTCCACGGGGCAAGAAGACTCTGCATTATCAGGCTCCCAGTGATAGCGAGGTTGTCAACATATATGCATGTAGATACTGCTCATGGAGAGAAATTCGTGCCATCTTTGCTTGCAAGTTGTTAACCGATGACAAGCGGTAACTTAGTACTGTGTATTATATAATCTGCGTCTGCGCAAACTGGGGGGCTGTAAGCATAAGCACGGATAAGCATAAACCGTAAGCTCCCAGGTGTGAGTTCCCCTATTGCTTGCAGTGTCTACCAGCACCATTACTATTTCATCCCATGCACTGGTCTCGTTGTGTGCTTGAAGTACAGTCGGAACACATTAGCATGCAGACTCCTTGCCATAGCCAACTTGAACTTTGACAACGCCGGACCTAACATGATTGAAGGGGCTGCAGCCTTTATAATTCTATTCTGGGGACCAAGCTCTCTTGACTCTGTGTCCTCTTCATTGCACTGCGACGCACACACAATAACCTGCCACTATGAACTGACGGAATTGCGTGGCTCTAGTAGCGATCGAGGTCAACGTGTTGGCCATGCTTTTAACATGCGGCCCAGGCTCTGCCAAAGTATAAGACACCCATTCCCTTCTCACACTCTTCTCATTGTTCCCTACCGTTTCGCTCACACTGACCTACGACCACTCATGATTAGTGAAGACCATAGGCTAGATTCTTCTCCAGGAGCCTCCAGATCCAGTGGGGCAAATGTTGCCGAAAGCTCGGTATGTCGTCTCTGAAATCCATCGCTGCCCTTATCCATTTTTCATCTAGAACCAACCTCGTAGAGGATTCCGTCAGTCCCTGCGGAAATTGAAGAATGCGTTAACCAAAAAACTTCCTGTGCGTGAACGTGAATGCTGACTGTCCTGAATACGGCTAAGATTGTGCAGAAACGCTTCAAGCGAACAAGCAACCGCACCACTGCGGTCCAAAACGTTGAAACCGAAGGGGCTTCATCGAGTCAGAAAGTCGAGGTAAGTGCTTGAACTTGCTATCCTAGTCCTTCGGTTTTCTTAGAGGCGCACAGGACACGTTGCATCTTCATCTTTCCGACGACAACAAGCATCCCACCGCATCTGAGATTCCCAGCGACTCTATGAACCAAGGGCTGTCCGAAGAGCCTGCTTTACAGGTATTTTCGTCAAATACTTTGACTTCTTCTCTAATTTCGGCGGTCCCACAGGCTCAGCCTGCTCCTCCTGGCGAGGAGGAAAGACCTAATCCCCAATTAGTTGATGCTGAACTTCAGGGTGCCTCTCGTGGTACGGAAAGCATGAGACTGCTCGGAGGACATGCGACTTCTATGGCATCCGCCGCCAACAAGGCCCCAGCGGGTCTCGCTGCCGCGGACGATTTTGCAACGACGTATCTCCGACCCTTAAAGATTATCAATGCTTTCCTTGAGAAGATCGCGGATGTATGGGCCATTCTTGTTGATTGGAAACGAACTAATCAAGCTGTATAGGTACATCCGTACGCAAAGATAGCGCTGGGTGTACTGTCTGCTGCATCCAGTGTACGTTCGGTTTCTCCCGGAGTCCAGTTTCCTACTCAGAAGTCATAATTCTATGTAGATTATAATCGCTCAGGCAGAACGCGACAAATCAATCAACAATCTTCTCCAGAAATTGGCTGGAATTTACGACTTTATGCTTCAAGATGACAGCCTTGGCAAAATTGAATCCATGCGCGATATCGTTGGAAAGATCATTCAGCAGACTCTTGAGTGTGCCCGTTTCATCAAGAACTACTCGGAGACAGAGAGCTTTTGTGAGCCACAGTCACCAAGTTATCGTACTTCGAGTATGAATCTTATACTATTATCGTAGGGAAGAGACTTGGGAAAAACGTTCTTTCGGAAACCGATAACATCATCAAACAGTACAGCGACACTTTGGACGTCTTTATGCAACAGTTCCGGGACCAAGTTGATCGGGACGTGGCCGTCTTCATCGATCGCACAGGTAAGGATTCTGGCACGCTTCTGTCTTTACATTCCCTCACATCGTTTCAGGCGATACCCTGGATCTCTTGGATATCGCTTATGCAAAGGACGCTGGACTAAAGACCACGAAACAGTGCCTACCAGAGACGCGCAAGGAGATTCTCTCCCAGATTACAGAATGGATCAACGGCAGTGGGGATGCTGCTGAACGTGTACTGTGGCTATCTGGCCCTGCAGGCACGGGCAAATCGGCCATCGCTCATACGATTGCCAAGCGGTTCAGTGACAAGGGGATGCTCGGTTCATGTTTCTGCTTCGACAAGACCGAGAAACGCCACGAAAAAGTTTTCTCCACCATCGCTCGTGACCTAGCTGATCATGATCCGGAGATGAGACGAGCATTGGCAGATGCGGTCAAAGATTCTGCTGCACTGAAGAGCTCGACGGATATATTCCAGCAGTGGGAGAAGCTTCTGATGGAACCACTGAAGAAATCTTCTGGGTCAAATGTGGGACTTGTCTTGATCGTAATCGAAGCGCTGGACGAGAGTGGCGGAGTAGAGACGCGGCGGGACCTTCTCCGCATACTTGCCGGCAAACTTCGGAACAAAGGTCTTCCCCAAATCACAGAACTCCCATCCAACTTTCGGATTCTCGTCACCTCTCGCCCACTTCATGATATCGAAGATGCATTTCACGACGCTCAGCATATTCTACAATTATCCATGGATGAGATTCCAGCAGCATTGGCGGAGCGCGATATCTGCGCTTTTGTATCTGACAAGCTAGAAGGACTGTCGCCTTTTGGAGACAAAGAGTTTGTAAACCTCGCTACGAAAGCCGATGGACTTTTCGAGTGGGCACGTCTTGCATGCGAATACATTGAAGGATGCCCTCCCGGTACAAACCCAAGGTCTCGCTTTGAAACTGTCATGAACCGCGTTCCTGGGAAATTGACAAACGAGTTGTATAAAATGTATCGGCTTATTTTGGCAGATATCTGGCCACGAGATCAGTATGACAATGACTCAGAGTACCAGAAAGCACTAGCGGGGTTTCGTTCCGTGATGGGACAAATACTTGGCACGGCTGAACCCCTCCCTCTCGATTCCCTCAACGCCATGCGGGACTATTTTCCAAATCACAACAAGCATTACAGTGTGGGCATCATACAACATATGGGATCCCTCCTTAGCGGCACAACGGACTCGCATATCCCCGTTAAACCCCTTCACGCATCCTTCCAAGAGTTCCTCACAGATAAACAATCCAGCGGAGACTTCTTCGTCGAGGTGACGAAGGCGCAACACCACGATTTAGCGTTGGCATCACTTCGAGTGATGGAACATGGCCTTCGCTTCAATATATGCGATTTAAGGTCATCGTACCTCCCTAATCGGGAAGATACCGGACTACCTCAACGAGTCAAAACATCCATTCCCCCACATCTATCCTATTCCTGTCGATTTTGGGCTACGCATGTTCAAACAACGGACTTCGAAGATGAGCTCGCAAAGGCGATCAGATCATTCTTCGACGACGAGCGACTGCTCTTCTGGATCGAAGCACTCGGACTTCTCAATGCGATCAGAGGTGCAATTATTGTGCTTCCAGTCGTTGCCAAGTGGCTGAAGGTGAGCACATGCCTACGAGGCAGTGTCGGATGAACAGCTCATGAATAAATACAGGGCCATTCTGGTTGCGAAGATTTGTGGACCACCACGATGGATGTACAAAGATTCATTCTAGTGTTTGGTCGTATGATCTTGCACAGCACACCGCATCTGTATTTATCAGGGCTCCCATTCTCGCCCGTCAACTCCGCCATGGCTACCAAATTCACGGCAAGGTTTCCGAATAATCTTCGTCTAGCATTAGGCCGTGATTTGAACTGGGCGGTTGTTCAGACCATACTCAGTGGGCACACTAGTGCGGTTCAATCAGTTGCGTTCTCGCCGGATGGTACTCGCATCGCGTCTGGTTCGCAGGATAACACTGTGCGGCTGTGGGATGCATGGACGGGACAGCCATTGGGTGAGCCCTTGAAGGGGCACACTGGAGAGGTTTCGTCAGTCTCGTTCTCACCGGATGGTACTCGCATCGCGTCTGGTTCGACGGATAACACTGTGTGGCTGTGGGATGCAGGGACGGGACAGCCATTGGGTGAGCCCTTGGAGGGGCACACTAGTTCGGTTTGGTCAGTCTCGTTCTCACCGGACGGTACTCGCATCGCGTCTGGTTCAAGGGATAACACTGTGCGGCTGTGGGATGCAGGGACGGGAGAGCCATCGGGTGAGCCCTTGAAGGGGCACACTAGTTCGGTTTCGTCAGTCTCGTTCTCACCGGATGGTACTCGCATCGCGTCTGGTTCAAGGGATAAGACTGTGCGGCTGTGGGATGCAGGGACGGGAGAGCCATTTGGTGAGCCCTTGAAGGGGCACACTAGTTCGGTTTGGTCAATCTCGTTCTCACCGGATGGTACTCGCATCGCGTCTGGTTCAAGGGATATACTGTGCGGCTGTGGGATGCAGGGACGGGACAGCCATTGGGTGAGCCCTTGGAGGGGCACACTAGAGAGGTTTGGTCAGTCTCGTTCTCACCGGATGGTACTCGCATCGCGTCTGGTTCTTTAGATAACACTGTGCGGCTGTGGGATGCAGGGACGGGACAGCCATTGGGTGAGCCCTTGAAGGGGCACACTAGTTCGGTTTCGTCAGTCTCGTTCTCACCGGACGGTACTCGCATCGCGTCTGGTTCGACGGATAAGACTGTGCGGCTGTGGGATGCAGGGACGGGAGAGCCATTGGGTGAGCCCTTGAAGGGGCACACTAATTCAGTTTGGTCAGTCTCCTTCTCACCGGACGGTACTCGCATCGCGTCTGGTTCTTGGGATAACGCTGTGCGGCTGTGGGATGCAGGGACGGGAGAGCCATTGGGTGAGCCCTTGAAGGGGCACACTAGTTCGGTTTTGTCAGTCTCGTTCTCCCCGGATGGTACTTGCATCGCGTCTGGTTCTTGGGATAACACTGTGCGGCTGTGGGATGCATGGACGGGACAGCCATTGGGTGAGCCCTTGAAGGGGCACACTAGCTCGGTTCGCTCAGTCTCGTTCTCACCAGACGGTACTCGCATCGCGTCTGGTTCTTGGGATAATACTGTGCGGCTGTGGATGCAGGGACGGGAGAGCCATTGGGTGAGCCCTTGAAGGGGCACACTGGAGAGGTTTCGTCAGTCTCGTTCTCACCGGATGGTACTCGCATCGCGTCTGGTTCAAGGGATAAGACTGTGCGGCTGTGGGATGCAGGGACGGGAGAGCCATTGGGTGAGCCCTTGAAGGGGCACACTGGAGAGGTTTCGTCAGTCTTGTTCTCACCGGATGGTACTCGCATCGCGTCTGGTTCGACGGATAACACTGTGCGGCTGTGGGATGCAGGGACGGGACAGCCATTGGGTGAGCCCTTGGAGGGGCACACTGGTGAGGTTTCGTCAGTCTCGTTCTCACCGGATGGTACTCGCATCGTGTCTGGTTCTTCGGATAAGACTGTGCGGCTGTGGGATGCAGGGACGGGACAGCCAATGGGTGAGCCCTTGGAGGGGCACACTAGTTCGGTTCGGTCAGTCTCGTTCTCTCCGGATGGTACAATCGCGTCTAGTTCGGCGGATAACACTGTGCGGCTATGGGATGTAGGGAAAGTGCAGCCATCCCCCATACCCAGAGAACCAGATTCCTTCCCATTTTCGCTACATCAAAGCTCCGCACCTCCCACTCAAGAACGCTGTACCATGCCAACCAACACTTGCAATTATCACTTCATTTCCTTCTCGTCCAGCCTGGAACACGCCCTGCCTAACGCCACTGACCTGCTCGAACCCACTTCTCATCATAATTCTAATTCAACTCCTTTCTTGCTGCAGGCTGATGGATGGATCATGGGACCCAATCATCGGCTCCTTCTATGGGTACCTCCCGCTTCCCGATATCCATTTTATACTCCTGCCACTGCAATGGTGATCCCCAGAGGAGGTGCTGAGCTTGATTTGAGCCGCATGGCACACGGGACACACTGGTCGAGTTGCCGAGATGCGTGAGTTCTTAGTCTTTACCATCCGTCCTCGCAGTTGCTAACATCAGGACTTCTAGCTCCATGTAATGATATTTTGTTGCTGCAACATTGAGTGTACCGTTCAATTCTTCGATTCCTTGTCAATTTCTATACCTAGCTGAATTTTACGGACGTCCGACTGAATGATCTGCTGCGGAGGTTCACTAGTTACTATGTACCACTTGTTACTCAGTCTCTAGACTTCTAGGTACATTCACAGTAGCGTTTTCGAGCCGTTTCATCGTCTTCTGTTTTCGACTTTCCGAGCAATCCAGTATTGTCTTCGCAATTTGCATCGATGCCATTATGTTCTGTCTAATTTATTCCGGATCAGGGCAAGGGTTTTTTTTTTTCAATTCGAACTCGTAAACAGATCAAGTGATGTATTCGTTGCCTCATATGTTCACTAGCTCGATAAGATGTCTGCTCCAAACGTGCACATTCAGAATTTTAGCCCCTCTGCGACTGCACAGAACGCCAGCCGTTAATATAAAGTTCGAACCGCTTAAAAGATCGCTATGTATAATTACGTGGCCTACGGCCTGACACCAATACCCTTCTACTTGGTCTGGCTAAGAAGAATGATACTAAGCAGGCGCACCATGAGTTATACAAGTCCCCCACCACCCATCCTAACAGTATCCAATACTGCCCTCACCAACTCATTCCATAACCGTCTCGCAATCGAATCGCCACGGGCTTCCGATAATCTCCTCCGTACCAAGTCCGCAGGTGTCTCCAAACGCCGCCGCCTCCGAAGAATCAAAGACATAAGGGGAATTAGGAAAAACAAAACAGATAGTGTGGCCAATCTGTTTGCGGTGAAATAGTGGTTGAAATAAGATCGGATGAGTGCTGGGGAGGTTGGGGGTTGTGCAGTCGCGAGGCTGCGGTCGGTTAGCAGAACGTGGGAGATGCGAACGCCACTGGCACTTGAGCTTCCTCGGGGTTTGCTTTGGTTGTAGCGGTGACGAGGGGATCTGGTTGCAGTGGAGTCTGAAACTGCTGATGTGGAGGACGTGGATTGTTGGCGGGTAAGTTTTGGACGGGGGGATGCTGGTATGGCGGTGCGGGTAGATGTGGTAGATAGAGAAGAGGAGAAAGAGGCTGGAGATAGAGAGCGGAGTTGAGGCATCGGTGTAAGCGAGGGAGGAGTCTCGGGTTTTGGCGTCTCCCGCCTTGTACTCTCCAACGCGTGAGCATGCTGAGCCTCTAGGGCCAAATAAATTTCCTGACAATATAGTGTTCAGTGCGACACAAGGATCATGAAATTAAACTCACGCGTTTTTTGTCAGACGAGAGTTCATTCTCGTAGGATAGAAATTCTTTGACGTACTCCCACTCGCCCAAACGAGGCAAGACGTGCAAGCAGTAGAGTTCTAGAACTTTATGATATGGTTCACCCGTGGAAGGTACGAAGTCATATTGACCGCGTTTTGATAGCCAGTCCTCCGTCATCTCACGACCAACACCTGGGCAATCTATCTTGATACTGGATGCAACGAGTGTGATGAGGACTTGGTGCGGAAGGAATGCAGAGCTAGGTTTTCGATACAGAGATGAAGGAGTAAATATTGCAAGAGTTCGAGCATACAAAGTGGAAATAAATGATTGGGGAGATAAGAGTAGGAATTCTCGGAGTGGTTGTGGTAAATCAGCGATGTCTGGAGTAGACGAGAAGACGGTGGTTTCGAGGGTGATGCGAAGGATATCCCACTTTCTCCGGTGGACGTCTAGGGGATCAGGTGAGGGCGCAAGGGGAGGTGGGAGGAGCGCAAATGCAGCGCTTAACAAGGTGAACGTGATAGTGACGTCTCGGTGAAGGAATGCTCTCGCTGCACGGTTGTACAATGATTGTAGCGTTGCCTCTGTCGACGACGAGCCTTTGCTAGACGGTTTATGAGGCAGCATGTCCGACGTCAAGACAGTTGTCGTCGTCGTCGTAGCGGTCGGCATCAGCGGTCTGCTTGAAACTGGAATTAAAACCAGTGGTCAGAGGCTAGGGCTTTCAATTACGGACCTGTCTTCAAAAGGAATAGAGTATATTGTCAGCAGTGGCTAGTGATAGTGATTGTCCGCGCTCGTCGTATATTTACTCAAACAGCCTCGAATCGTCGGTTGGTGTTCGGTGCAGAGTCCCTAGTGTGACCAGCGACTGTGCACTGGTAAGTGACCGGGCAAGTGGCCGGCAACGTACTGACCGGTAATCAGGATGACGCTTATGTCAGTGTCAGTGACGTCTGCCAACAGACGTTTTTTTGCGCAATTGAAGCGCCCATAACACACGCTTGAAGCTATTCATAGTCGATGGTCACCTGTCCAATGGCACCAGCTACATGAGTGCTTTTGAATTTTTCACACCTCGACATTTCAATCGACTACTGAGGCCGTTATCGTCGTCACCATTCAATATTCAATATTCAAGTCCACTAGCCTTACAACACGTCATGGATCTTGGATTGCAAGGAGTGCATGTCATTGTTACAGGTCGTATTCTACGGTATTCTATACCACTGCTGACCTGACCATGTACTCGAGCAGGGGCAAGTGGTGGCATCGGGCTAGAGACCGTAAAATTATTTTGTAGTAAGTGATTTACTCTCAAGTGATGACTATTATGTCGAACTAAACATCCAGCATTGGGCGCGAATGTGACCGCACATTATAACTCCCAATTCGGTCCAATCCAGGAGCTTCTGGCATCGAATCCCAATCTTCAACATGTCCAGGCCAATCTGTCTCAAGAGGAGGCCGTTGTGGCTATGTTCGAGTCGTTAGCTGCTATGCCTCATGGCCCCGTACAAGTGGTGATCGTTAACCACGCTATATATCCAACTTCGGATGTCCCAATCGCAAGGATGACGCTGGACCAATGGAACACGACCATAACCACGAACTTGACATCATCATTCCTGGTGTGTAGAGAGTATTTGAAGCACCTTGAACGCGCACCCTCTACTGTCAAGGAAAAGGCCGCGATTGTGCTTATCGGAAGTACTGCCGGGAAGTATGGCGAAGCCAATCACGGTGACTACTCTGCGACGAAGAGCGGTCAGTAACGATTCTATCGGCAGTTTGACATAAACTTATCATGTTGTAGCAATGATGTACGGTTTGAACCTTACTCTCAAGAATGAAATCGTGAAGATAGCCCCCAAAGGCAGAGTCAACTGTATTGCACCTGGCTGGGTCAAGACACCCATGGCTGAAGAAGCCTTGAAGGATCCTCAAACAGTGTATCGTATATTGTCTACGTCAGTCACATCTTCATGATTCATGGTCTGTATTGAATTTCGCACCGCCGCAGGTGCCCGCTTAAGAAGGTGGCGATGCCGATCGATGTCGCGACACAGATTGTGGTCCTTGCATCATCCACTCTCTCTGGTCATGTCACTGGTCAAGTAGTGATGGTTGAAGGTGGAATGGAGGGGAGATTACTAAACAGACCAGAAGATTTGTAGGGATCTTAAGCCGGTTTTTCATCAATGCCTCGTCCGAATCCGCAACATGTATAGGAGATGATGAAATGTTTGAATTCTGCACATGCAGGTACCTATTTACTGACTTGTGAGAGTCTCGATGTGAATAGGATTTCTTGCAGCTTTATGCTCTCGCTAACCAAATATGTACTGTATATCCAACATAGGGTCTATGACCCAAACGGACCCACCGCGAAGTACCTCACAACTGATGCGATCTGGGACAACCACAAGTAAAGAATAATCCGCAGCACCTAAATTCACAAGAAAATTCTCCCGTGCCATCAGTCGAACCTTGTGTTTCTGTTGTTCGTGCTTGAGGCCATTGCGTTCCAGGTGCAGGATGACCTTGTTGCGTTGAACTGTCAGTCTCATTGCCACTTGTACGTTGCATAGCTGCAGCCACTTCTGCCTCGGTGGGAGGGGCAATGCCGTATCTCTACAAATGTATTGATTTGAATGACATGAAATAGAAGCAATGGTGACTCGTCACTTACATCTTCATCGCGAGCAGGCGCTACATCGACGGCGCGTCGGGATGGTCCCACAAGAAATCGGCTGAAATTCCAACGCCGAGACTCGCACGGCAAGGTTGATTGCGATGTATTTGCAGATGGAGTGGTGAAACGCAGGGAGCCTAGCAAACTGCGCCAATGAAGGGGAAATGACAGGCTCGCAGGAGGGACTGTGTGACGAGGTTTGTAGTTTGTATTGATACCCCAGAAGTCGTCATCCTGCATCAGTGTAAGGATAGCTTGAACAAAAACCATACGGACATATCTCGTCAAGCCTCTGTTGTTGGGCTGCTGCTTGGAGACTACTGGCATCAAAAAATATTGAACGAATCGAACGAGACGAATGAGCAAAGTATGAGGTTGTTCACAACAGACTGACGAACATCTCTCGGTCGGGCTGCATGTCCCTAGTACAGAAGTTAGAGACAGAGCGGAAGGGAAGCACGTATGACTTACCTTGAGCTTCGCGTTGGGCTTTGCATCATCTGCACGCTGGATGATGACCAAATCTACTTAGAAAAAGACGCTGACGACAGATAGGCACACCCACATGATCGACACCTTGCTGTTTGAGCACTGCCCCCATGCTCCATATGTAGACTTTCGCGTCTTTTCCAGCACCTGCAATGTATTTTCCATCGGGGGATATGGCAACAGTTGAGAGTTCATTGTCATGCAGGAGTGGGTTTCCAACTGGCTGATTGGTCTTGAGGTCCCAAATGCGAACTGAGAAATCCCTCGCTGCGCTAACAAGACAAAGGGAGCTTACGCCGAGGGTATGAGTTCGAAAAACCATGACCTCCTTCCCATCAATCCACTGCCATTTTCTGATGGTGCGATCGAATGATGCAGAGAAGATGTATGCACCGTCCTTGGACCAACACAACGACGTCACTCCATATTCAGAAAGTTCTCCGACTATATCTACACGTGTCAACTGTATAAATGAGTGGCAGATCACATGAACGCCTGAGTACTAGTGACTCGCCTTTTTACTTGTAGATTGAGTGCTGATTGCAGTCTAGCAAGGAGATGCGCTAGTGAAGCTGCTGGTCGAGAATATCGCAGATATTTTCTTCACGATGTGACGATGGGAATCAATGACATCGTGTCCATACGACACTTAAGCAGCAGAAGTTAAGCTAAGCTGAGTGCTTCCGTGCTTCCGACTCGGGGGGGTACCGGTCACTGAGTACAGTGGTGAGTATACTGAGTACTGAATCTCTGATCGATGATCGATTGACTGGCAACCAGTGCAAACTGGCTTAATTGGGATGACGCTTATGTCACGTGTCAGCGACTAGATGTTTTTTATAAACTTGAAGTGCGCCCTGCACTTGAAGCTATTTACAATCGGCGGGTCACCTGTCCAATAACACCAGCTACTTCATGATGAATACTATTGAATTGTTCACACCTCGACATCTCAAGTGACTATTGAGGCCGTTATCGTTTGTTATCGTCTGGTTATATCCAAGTTCACGCTCAGCCTATCACTGACCACAACAGCACGTCATGGATCTTGGACTGCGAGGAGTGCATGTCATTGTTACAGGTCTGAATCGTATTCTACGTTATCCTATGGCACTGCTGACCTGACGGTACTTGAGCAGGGGCAAGTGGCAGCATCGGGCTAGAGACTGTGAAGTTATTTTGTGGTAAGTGATTTACTCTCGAGTGATGACTATTATGTCGAATCAGACATCCAGCATTGGGCGGCGAATGTGACCGCACATTATAACTCCAAATTGGTCCGATCCAGGAGCTTCTGGCGTCGAACCCCAATCTTCAACATGTCCAGGCGAATCTCTCTCGGGAGGAGGCCGTAGTGGCTATGTTCGAATCGCTAGCTGCTATGCCTCATGGACCCGTACAAGTGGTGATCGTCAACCACGCTGTATATCCGACTCCAGATGTTCCAATTGCAAGGATGACGTTGGACCGATGGAACACACCATAACTACGAACTTGACGTCATCATTCCTGGTGTGTAGAGAGTATTTGAAGCACCTTGAACGCGCACCCTCTAGTATCAAGGAAAAGGCGGCGATTGTGCTTATCGGAAGTACTGCTGGGAAGTATGGCGAAGCCAATCACGGTGACTACTCTGCGACGAAGAGCGGTCAGTAACGATTCTGTCCGCAGTTTGACATAGACTCACCATGATGTTGTAGCAATGATGTACGGTTTGAACCTTACTCTCAAGAATGAAATCGTGAAGATAGCTCCCAAAGGCAGAGTCAACTGCATTGCGCCTAGCTGGGTCAAGACACCCAGGACTGAAAAAACCTTGAAGGATCCTCAAATAATGTATCGTGCATTGGCTACGTCAGTCACATCATCATGATTCATGATTCATATTGAATTTCGTGTCATGCAGGAGGCCGCTTAAGAAGGTGGCGATGCCGATCGACGTCGCGACACAGATAGTAGTCCTTGCATCATCCACTCTCTCCGGTCATGTCACTGGTCAAGTAGTGATGGTTGCAGGCGGAATGGAGGGAAGATTGCTAAACAGACCAGAAGATT